AAATGGCTAAAAATAGATGGCGGCATTAAAGCGCGCTAACCTGTGGCACAGTGGAGTGGATGGAGAGCAAACCGGAGTAAGAGGCAGGGGCAAGGGAACAGGAGCACGACACATGACGCATACGCACCGTGGTGCAATCATCTGCTGCAATCTGGTTATCGCGCGGATCGCAATGCTGCTACTGCACTAGTTACGAGCCAAAAGTGACGGGTTTGAAGCAGAACAAACAGGTATTCTTCAGTTGGAGGGATCAAGGAATTCCACGGGGGAAGTCCAATCGGAATGGGTGGTTATCTTAGGGAACCTCAACTGCAAAAAGAGCACCTGAAATACGTTGAGAAGTCATCTGCCAGACTCTTTACAACAACTAACTGCTTTTACCAATCAATGGAATATTTTCCGGCTTAAGAAGTAATTTGAGAGTTGGTCCAAATCATTTTCATGGCAACACTTTTTAGCCGCATTAAACGAGCTCCCCCAAGAAGCAAAAACAAGAAGGAAATCCCTGATGCAATCCCTAGCAACTTTTAGCGAGCGTAATTTCAAACAATTTAGTTAAGTTCCAGTGGCATTTCATGCTGTTTACATAAAGCAAGTACTCGCAGCGCGGAGCGAAGTGGGGTGGGGAGGTGGGAAAACCCAGGATCAGGGACACGCGCAATATGAGGGCTCGGGCAAGGTAAACGAAGTAAATTAAACACAGCCCAACAACAACTGAAATGCCCACAGTGGGCGTTGACACAGGGGGCGCGGAGGGGCGCAGAGGAAACACTTTAACAGGCAGCATACACTCAGAACAACCAAAACAAACTTGTTCTTGTTACCAAACTTTTGGTAAATAATAGTGTTGTAACATGTTCATTTTTATGTTAATAAACGAAAAGAGTATAAATAGTTTAAATTACGATTGTTTCTGCACTTGGTTGATGGGGTTATTATTTACGGGTTTTTCTTTTCAGTGCACAGCAAGGAGAAGCAGGGAGCCGACAACAAGCACAATAACGAATAACAAGGCAAAGGCATGCCAAACAGCAAAAAGCAGGAGAAACCCAATAACATAAAAGCAAAAGAATTTTTCGCCAAAGGATGATGGCCAACCTGCAAAGGGGGTGGTCAGGGGGAGGGCGGACAAGTAGAAAAACCCGCTTACAGCTGCGAAAAAAAAGCAACAGCGACGCCAAGCCAACCAACGACCTTGATAAGTTTTACAGAGCACGGGAAGGGAGCGGTACGAAACGGAGCAGGAGAGAGAGGTCCTCTCGCTATCGCAGCGAAAAAGGGCGGCGGAGAGGCCACCACAATCGATGCCCCCAATGTGGTGAGTTTCGCCACGCGCGAGAGCCCTCTCTTTCTTGCTCTCTCATCAACAAGTGGCCCAGCTGAGTGGGCTGGACTAGAGGGGGTGATGGGTGGTGAGGGGGGTTAAACAGCTCCTTACTCAATTCACTTTTTTGTGTCTGTGTGTCAGAGAAGTGGAGCTTACTCTCCCGCGAGCTCTCTTTGATAAACAGCCAGTGGTGAGTTTGTTTCCCTCTTTTCAGCCTGATTATCATATTCTGCGTTTTATTATTGAATTTCTCGAAAATTGCCTGCGTGTGTGTGACGCATGTGTAAAGTGCGGCGCAGAAATTGATAGAACAGCCGCCCACCGCCCACTTTTTCACCTCCTTTTCAACACCCTTCCCCTGCTATAGAAAACAAATTCCGCCAGTTAGTCTGTCAAATATGTTTGTTTTCCGCTCTCCCTCTCTCTCTTTTCACAGTCAGCTGCCAAATCAGCTGTCGTATTTAAGGCAAATTCATTACGTACTATTTAATAATCAAAGTCTCCAACGGAGAATAGAAAGCGGAAGATTGGAAAATAACTGCATGGAAAATTTTCATCTATGGTAAATGGCAAAAAGTGAACTCGCCACATAGCAAAACAAAAAGCACAAAATGCAGAACGACAACGGCAGCAACGACACTCACTGCCTCCATTGTAGTTACCTGCAACGTGCCTGAAATTTCAAAAATGCAATATCAAAATCAATGCGGAACCAGGGAGATACTCTGCCAAGTCCAACCGATGCCTGAAATACCCTCTATTGGATTAAATCTAGTTCCTTAGGCATTCTACGAATTAAAGAGAGATTTTCAAAAAGGCGCAATCTGTGAGAACTAAGGCTAATATATGTAGCTAGTTTGGGCACATTCTCGGTCTTTGTTTTATTTTATTTGGATTTATCAAATTTACAATAACATATGGATTACCAATACTGCTCCTTACAAGTTTTTATTTTATAAACTTCTATATGGTTCTCAAAACTAGTATGATGTGGAGGCGAAAAATGAACATCATATAATTCATTGCTAGAGAAACATTAACGTTGATCGCTGAACTAAACGTAATTTTATAACTATGAGGATGGCTTTTACTACCTTTACCTTTTTGAACTTCTGAATACAACCGTAATACCCTTTGCTAGGGTATTTTAAGCGCCGTGCTGCACTTGCAACTGCCAAACGAAACGAAACCGGACTCAACTGGACGCCCGCCCCTCGCACATACACACACCCAATAAACGCTCACACACAGTTGCCAGCAAGACACACACACACTATGGACCACGTCTAGTTGAGCATTTTGAACGACAACTACAGCGGACAAGCCATAATTAATCAGGCTTGGCCGGCAATATTTTACAAAAGCGAAACGAAAATTCCTCAACGGCTCCCAAGTCGGAGTCACTGCAGATCCTTAACTCAAAAATGTCTACACTTTGTTGCCATTTTGCCAATTTGGCCTTATCAACTGGCCAATAACACGTGCAATTCCCTGGCACTTGCTGCGTTCCATTCGGTTGAGTCAATAGCACACTTCCTAATCACAAACAAAATTCTAGCAAATCGGTTAAAACTCGTTTCTCTTCATCGCAACATTAATTCGCACATTTTTACAAATTATATTAAAGCTCAAATAAATATGTATATGTGTAAGTAGATACACAAATGAAGTATTAGAAGTTGACGACGCCAACAACAACAACAACCAAATAGCCATTCTGAATTTTTCGTGTACTTTAAAAACTTGTTTTATTTATTTGCTTTTTGTTTGCTCTGCCGTTGCTTGTAAGCTTATTGAACAATTATATTATGGCATAAAAATGACAATAAGCGATGTTTGAATGTGCTAACAGGAAAAAGTTGTTGTGAACAACTTCGAAGTTCAAATCCAGACTCATAATTATTTCATAGCTCTTTTATAACCTTTTGTTTGCTTATCAAAATTGTAATTATCAACTGAATAGTTTTGCTGTTAAGAAAATAAAATATCTCATCAATATTTCTTGCCTAAGATCATGCGCAGTATTTGGAAAAAGTTTGATGGTATTCATACAAATATTTTAACTATGAATTTGAAAAGATTCCACAAATCTTATTGTCTTTCAAAAAAAAACATCTCCCAAGATATTAACGGAAATATTGATTAGGAAATTCCAAAGTTCATGACTACTTAAAATTAATTCGCGGACCAATGATTTTTCCAGACATAGTAAAATCTTTACATTTAACATTTAGCATGCAAATAAAACAATTAAAATAAGTGAACGAAAAAAACCCAGTTACCCGAGCAATTGTTTTGTAACATTTCGTTGGGGTTTTCTCACCCGCCGAGCACAATGCAAGTGTGTAAGGTAATAATTGCATTTTTTCGCGCAGTGTAAGTGGGGGCGGCAATATCCCCCTCTTGATTCATATTTCTTTTTCTCCGATTTCTTAGTCTTCCTCTCAATTGTCGCTGCATTGGCGGAGGGAAAAATAAGAGAAAAGTATGTAGAAACAGTCGCTTAATTCTATGCTGCATTCGGATAACCCGATATGATATGCAAAACAATCTATTAAGGGGGAACTTCCAGTTTGAACTGCTTAGATACAGGAGCATTTACGCCCATTATTATACTGCAACCGACTTTGGACCTAACATTGCAAGAAGTTCAACCGAAGAAGAGGAAGAAGTGGCTGCAACAGAAAGGCTAAATTCAACTTACCGCCGCAAGTTCAAGGCCAAGTGGCTCTCTCTCGCCCTGGCTCTCTCGTCTCGTTCTCTCACGCTCTGCGTGGGTCTATTCCTCTCTCTGCTCCGAAAGTGTTGTTGTCGCGTTACATGTAAAAGAACTTTCGTTTTCCGCCTGCAGGGGGTGGAGTGGGGAGCTTGGTTGGTGAAATGGCCCACATGCAACTACCGTTAGCTCGTCCGTTCTTGTTTTTGTTTTTCTCCCGACTTCGCACTTTGCTCTGCTGCTTATGTTGTTGTTTTCGTTTTCTTCTGGTGTTCGCCAAACAGGAGCGACTTTTGTAAATTAATTAACAACACTCGCACACTCACTCCCCACACGCACGCACACACTTGCGTTCATCATGCGAGCGCGCGCTTCGAGATAAGCAAAGGCAATTTATTTGCACTAAAATTTACTTTTGCGCGCTGAGCGAAACGTGGGCGAGGGGAGGGGGAAAGGAGAACTCACCACACACAGCACACACTCACGCGACCGACGTAAGAGCACACGTTTTGGCCAGTTCGAGGAATATGGATATAGTCGGCGGTATTTCGATCTGATCTTATAAATTCCGCTAGTTTCCGATTAAGAGTCTGCGTTTCGAAATCAATGCGATCGATTCGGTGTCTGATCATTCAATCTGGCGGAGCGACGAAACAAGTCAACAACCACGGAGCCCTACAACAAATGTGCTGCGGGAGCTTTGCGCGGATAGGTCACACTCAGCACGGTCACACCTGGGGGGTGGCAGTGTGTCGATATATCGATTCGATTTCTGGCGCCAACATTTAATCGAGACAAAAGCTACATCCAATTCCTTGCAGCATTTTTCTCCATTCTTGCCTACATATTTATTTTTTTCTTTTTTGAAATTAATGGAATCGTGATTAAATCATATGAATTATATATTTTTCCCCGGTCTGCTGAGGTCACACAACCAAGCCAAAACAAAACAGCAGGTTTAAGTTTGCATAATTGGTTATTTTCACAGCAATGGTAGGTTAGCTTTCAGGGCATCGAACTCCTTTCTTTCCAGGGGTTTAAGGTGTGTACCCGAAAAGGGCGATTTAAACTCTAAATCACGGTGTTTGTTTACCAGGACTTTCTGATCTGAATAAATAAGGTTGATTTGCTGCTCGATTTGATGTTGATCTACAAGGGTTATAAGTTAATAAATAGATTCAGAAGAAGGCTGGATTTTCACCTTTCTTAAGCAGATCTATGGCCTTATGCCGCTCCATTTTGACCAGCATGCTGCCAATTGTGATCCAAACTTTTTTATCCTCTGATTTTTCCATCAGCCGCATTGCCTCTCGCGTTTCTTGGCGGCGTTTGTCCATAATCGTCAGCTCCTGCTTGTTGGCCAAGATCTTGTCCGCCAATTCCTCGGTCTTGGCAATTATCTCAATGCTTTTATTTAGCTCTGCTTGCGACATATTTTCGATTTACTTAATAAACGCAGAAGTAAACAAACAAATTCAACTGCGACTCAAAAATGCCCTAACGCCTTTAGCACAGCTGTTTTTTCAGAGGCGTGAAAAGAAGATCCTGAAAGGGGATTCCAAAAAAATGGCTCTGTTATGCATGTTATAGGTAAATATATTGATACTTTAAAGCCTTCGAAATTAAGATGCTTTGCTTTTTAATGTTGAATGTTTAAGAACAGTTTAACAATGAAATGTGTTTTGATAAAACCACAAATTTTCTGTTTATAAAATGGTCACACTGAACACCAACAAACCTGGCTGGTATCGACCCCCAGAAATCCGTTCTACCTGCGCCCTTGGCCACATCCCATCTCAATCGCAAGCAAAGATGGCCGCGTCATAAGTAGTTTTGTAGTTCCAAAACGAGACGTTTGTTTACGAGCACAGCCACAACTGACTGGATCTCCGCCTGATATTCGGCAGGAAAACATATTCACAGGAACTACTGGACAATGCATTCCACCGACGGCTACAAACGCCTGGGCAGCAAGTCCTTGGCAATCTGTTGCCTGCTCCTGCATCTCTTCCTCTTCCCTCAGCCAACGGTGTCACAGGTAAATCCCAAGATTACTCCGGTCTACCCCACTATCGCTGCAGCCATATCGCCTCTTCGGACAACAAACATATGTTTGCAATGTGTGCACAGATGTTTGGCATATCGATTTTGCTGCAATGCGTGTTTCGCATGTGTGCGTGGGAGTTAATGCTCCGTGGCATTTTATTCACAGCAAAGCTTATCTTAATCTCAAAATCCATTCTTAGACTCAAAGTTCGCCACGTTATCTGCACAATGCGGACAACAACAACGACCGCCTGCAGCAGATTCTTAAGGGATCGGGAGCGGTATCGGGGGTCACGCAGCTCAACTGGCCACAGCCGCCCAAGCAGGCCATTCCCGACGTCAAGACTGAGCTGGCCAAACTGAACAGCAGTGAGTTTGCATCTTCCGATATCCAAGTGCCGTGTAAAGCCTTTAAATCCCGTCCACAGCCTACCTGTACCAGAACGCCTGGCCGGCAAACAACGTTAAGTTGGGCGCTGTGACAGCCGTAAGTTTCGACAAGGCCGGCAACGTGGTGATCTTCCATCGCGTGGACCGCGTCTGGGGGCAGACCACCTTCGATAATAAAAACCAGTACCAGGAGAAGTACCGCGGCCCCATCGGGAAGAGCACCATCCTGGCGCTGGAGCCTGCGACGGGCAAAGTGCAATACGATTGGGGAAAGAACTTGTAAGTATCAACTCATCACCTAACTATTTTCTGTGTTCAGTCAAAAAGTTTTCTAAATGTATATGCAATGTTTAGGAAGAGATTACATGGAGCTAATTACTTTTCGTTCTCGCGCATAGCTTTTACATGCCACATGGCTTGACTGTGGATCCCGAGGACAACGTTTGGGTGACGGATGTGGCCATGCACCAAGTATTCAAGTTTCCTCCTCGCGGAGGAGATGGAAAACCTTTGCTCACTCTCGGCGAGGTCTTTCAACCCGGCACGGGTCGGAAGTTCTGCAAGCCCACCTCCGTGGCGGTACTGGACAACGGCGACTTTTTCGTGGCCGATGGATACTGCAATGCCCGCATCCTCAAGTACTCGCCAACAGGAGAGCTCATTCTCTCCTGGGGGCAGAATTCTTTCTCTGGCGTGTCCTACGACGTGGCACCCCAAAACTACTTCGCGATTCCTCATGCCCTCACCCTTGTTCCGGAGCTGCAACTGCTCTGCGCGGCGGACAGAGAAAACGGGCGCGTGCAGTGCTTCTCCTCCCACAACGGCACTTTCCACTCACAGTACCACAACCAGCTGATAGGCGACCGCCTTTTCAGCATGGCCTACACCCCGGCAGCGGGTGAGTGGATCAATCTTCTCCTGATATCGGTTTTCATGAGGTGCCACAAGAATCTTTCGGCAATTTGACGACACTTCAATGTTTTGTGTGTGTCGAAGCGCTTTTCAAAATTACAATAATCAAATTACTCTTACGTAGCCCTTCTATTCCTAGCCCCTAAACATGTCCCTTTTCTGCTACAGGTGGACAACTGGTGATTGTGAACGGACCCACCGCAGAGCTGGGAATCCATCCCGAGCACTACAACGAGGTGCACGGGTTCGTGCTGAGCATGCGCAGCAAGCAGCTGATCTCGAAGTTTGGGCCCAACAACCTGGAGTTCCAGAACCCGCACGACGTAGCCGTCACTACAGACGGCAATGAAATCTACGTGGCTGAGCTGAATCCCATGCGCATCCACAAGTTCGTGCACAGATCGCTAGCCAAGCCGATGTCCTTATCTGCCACCAAGGACTCCAGCAGCAGCGCAATCAGCAGGGCTGAGGGGAAGGAGCAGACGCCGCTGCAAACGACGCACCACCCCAGCGGCAAGGCGATTCTGGTGGCCTCGCTCATGCTGCTCTTCGCCGGCTCCACCTTTGCCCTGGCTCTGATCTTCGCGCGGCGAAGGAAACGAGGTAACCAAGCGATGAGCTCCGCACCTCCCAGCGACCTAGTTTACCGCAAGCTAACCGCTTCAACCCAGAGTCTGTGCTGATCCTCAGTGCTAATTCCTCACTCAATGTCCTGTGTTGTGCTGTTCTTCTCACAAACTTTTTGTTTAATTCTGTACTTATAAGTTTGAATTGGCTCAAGATTACCGATGAATCTCCCGATCCAACTACATCCCCGCATTTTGGTGCACTGACCTTCCGATTTACATTAAAATTAAAATGTTCATTTGCATTATACTTGTACTTAATTTTTTGTATCACATTTAGTGTTCATTTTATACAAACCCCTTATACAAATACATATTCATTCCTCTACAATTTTCGTTTATCTTTAAGTGTCTTATGTTGTCGCCTTCGGTTTGTTTCAGTGGACGCCAATTCCCAGATCTATGCATGAACTAAAGGGGGAATGAGTTTTATGCGGCGAATCTCTGGCAATCGTTAGTAATTCCATAATCCACACATTTTCTACAGGTTGCCTTCCCTTCGGAGCTCGGAGTCGTCGACACGCGTGGGAGAAGAGCGAGGGCTTCAAGCTGGGCGGACTGCTCGATCGAGATCGCAACGGATTCGAGAAGCTGGACCAGCAGGCCAGCGACGAGGAGCAGGAGGCGACGACGCCGGCGAGCGCCCAGTTCGCTTAGGGAAAGGACCAAGACTTATACGAGCTAACGAAGCATTCCTAGTTCTAACTACCTGTACCTCATTGAACTACAGATTAAGTTGTACTCGAGCTATATATGTGTACATTTGAGTTGTGATTTTTGTTTTTCCAACTGGTGCACTCTGCGTAGATTTCCAGTTGAGAGCAGCAATTTTATTCTGTCAAGTATTTTGAAACTATTTTAGAAACTGTACCGGAAGTACATGTAAAATCGGGGTCTGAGTTTTGGATTGATTTAAGGCATTTACTTAAAAGCGCTCTGCCGAATGCGCCTAATCTATTGCGATTGATTTGCCAAATGAAATATAGTCTTATGAATCTGTCATAGTTTGTGTACTTTGTTTATTTAATGTCTGCGGCTTAAACTTAACTAGAAGTTTTTATAAATATTTGGATATTGCAAGTTGATTGTATCGACTAATAAGGCCCCATAGTGGCGAACATATCTGCCCGTCGACCTCGCATGGAGTTGTCCAGATACCAGAAGAAAAAAACTTCTGGCTGACGGTCAGACAACCTGGGCGAGGAAACCCTCGTTCTCCTCCGTCACGATAGCATCGATGTTGTAGAAGATCGCGTGCAAGGCGATAACGAAGCAGGAGGCGCCCAGCGTCCAAAAAAGAACTGAGCCCGCACCCACCAGAAAGAGCACGGGTGCTGTGGCTAGATTGAGAGCGATAATCTGCTGGTTTGGCGTCAATTGGTGGCCGACGACGGTGATGTTGCTGTTGCGCATGCGCAGCTTGTGGCATCCAAGGGCGGCGGCCACGATGACCAGCAGGATGCAGGGCGCCGTGATGCTAGAAAAAAATACAGGAGGTTACTGTCGAACAATGAGCACTAGCAGGCTTTAGGACCACTCACAGGCAGTAGATCATCAGGACGAAGAAGATGAACACGTAGTTTGCCTGGAAGTAGGAAAGATTCCTGACAACCCGGTTGTTCAGGCGCTGCATGCTAACTGCCGACTTAAAGTTGTTAATGTTGAAGAAGACGGTCCAGGGTCGCAGCGAGTTGCGCACCATTTGGAATACCTGCATAGGCGTTGGCAGGTTCGACAGGCTGGTCAAGCTGCGGAGTATTCGCAATATTAATTTGAAAACATTCTTGATTTTAGGTTGCTTACCTTTGAAAGTCCACGGAGAACCTGCCTCCCGCTGGCGGTGGTGGTTGCATGTTGCCGGATAGGTTGCCGCTGGTTTGAGCCATTTCGAGTCCGTTAACGCCTCTTTCCCGAGTGACGCTTCACAGATGTAATCTGCGACTCTTCGTTTTCCCTTTGTGTTCGATCTACAAGTGGTATATGGTATATGTGTCTTCGCATTCGTTCCACTTGATTCGAGATTCGTTTTCGGATGCTGCGGCGGTTTGGGGAGCTGTGAGGGCTTACCCGGAGCCACTTCTACAAGGAAGCGTGCCGACACGAGCTTCTGCTTTCGGTGTTTCTATCACAATTCACTCTGAATTTACTATGCCATTGTATTACTCAAAAAAAACAGTACACAAAGTTTTGAAAAACTGATGTGGCAGGCAGTTCTAGGACTGCCGAGGTACGTGGTGTGACCGGGTAGGGCGAATGTTATAAAAATATTCGATACCGTTGACTATCGGGCGTACGGTTCGCGCCGTTCTCCTCCGCCCGCGCTTTGGTCACTCTACAGGTATTCTGTGGATTTGGTTTTGGAAAATTCCCCTCCCGAAATCGCTGCGAGACTGGAAACGAGTCGATCCTAGCACAATCAATCTGAAAGCACAAACCCCGCAGATATATACAAAACCGCAGATATGGCCGACGACTGGGGTAAGTTCCTGGGACGTGGGCGGGTGCGGGGGCGGTGGGACATCTGCGGCGGACAATAAACGTGGTCGGTCGACGTTGTTGTTGTTGCTGCTGCTGTTGTTGGAGAGCCATGCAGCCAGCCTTGACGAGTATTTTTAGCCCCTGCCATCTAACCGTATTCGAAACCCTTGTAATTTTGCGATTTTCCTGCATTTCATGTCGTGATTCATCCTACGACGCCACAGAATCCGCAGCGGACAGTGAGGTGGTCATACGGCCGAATGCCGCCGCCAGCGTAAACAAGTGGGAAGGCGAGGACGAGGATGAGGACATCAAGGTGGGCACCAAATTCAATCGAAGACACAAGCATTGCTTTATGCAGATGTGGCCAAGCGGGCAACAACACAAGCTACAGTCCAAAACTTGTTTCTTGCACTCCGTTTCACTTTCATTTCGCTGTACACGTGTGCACTTTCGCAGTAGCAGACTGACCCAATCTTTGGTTTCCGCACCCACAGGACAGCTGGGAAGACGAGGAGGAAAAGAAGGACGAGGAGAAGCCCACGAAAACAGAAGCTCCAGCCAAAACCAAACCGAGCAAGGCGCTAAAGGCCAAACTTGAGCAGCAGGCGGTAGGATATTCCCTAAACCAAAACTTTTTCCTTACAATAATCAATTATTGTTTTCCTCAGCGTCTGGAGGAAGAGGCGGAAGAGCAACGATTGGCCAACCTCTCTCCTGCGGAAAAGCTGGCCGAGAAACTGCGCCTGCAAAAGATCCAGGAAGCCTCTGACCTTAAGCACGCTCAGGATGCTTTCGGAGTAACGAGTACGGCCGGCGGCCTAGAAGCCTACAATCCAGAAAGCAAGGAGGAGTTCAAGGAGTTCGGCGCCACACTTAGCTGGAAAATTGCTCAGTACCGCGAGTCGGAGTACTTCCCCCAGTTCGTAGAAGATCTGGTGCGCAGCCTATGCGTGAACCGTGAGTGTTTGCCTGGCTCACGCCTACTCAGTCTTAATCTGATCTGTTTTTCCCTTATCAGTGAGCGCCGCTGACATCAAGAAGGTCAAAATGAACGTTGAGGTCTTGCACTCGGAAAAGCTTAAGCTGGAAAAGGCCAACGCCAAGAAGCCCGCTGGAAAGGGCAAGGGCAAGGTCACGCTTCGCACCGAGAACGACGTGAGTGCCTAAATCGTCCATAAGATCGCAACATTATAACTGAACTTATTTGCAGGATATTGACGGCTACCAAAAGTACGGCAATGACTTCACCGAAGATTATGACGACTTTATGTGAATAGGATCTACCGTAGCCCGCATATATATAATTATTGAATACATAGTTGCTTGTTGAAGAGTCTTCTTGTTAGAGATGCTGCGCAGGAATTTGGGTCCTTTGTTGAATATAAAATAGCAGAACCTATATATATACATATATGTACATATATATTTATATGACCATATAGAACACAAAATCACAGAGTTCTAAAAATAAAACCACTTTCAAATCGGGCCAAAATTTCTTGAGTTATTAATTATAGGGTATCCAATACCCGGGAGTGTTATTTTAATGAAAATAGTATATGTTTCGTTGTGAATGGTTTTGTTTATATCGGCAAAAAGAAGCATTGCAATGGTTGCTGATTTGACTTGAAAAAGAATAGTCAACGGTATTATAATTATAAGTAAATACACAGTTTTTCTAGAATTTCTACAATTTATTTAGCTGCATATTACCTAATGTTTTTAGTTAATAATATAAAAACATCTTGAGCAATCATCTCTCTCTCTCTCTCTCTTTCTTTAAAGATGTTCCATCAATTTCTATCTCTTTAACTTTTAGCTACAATTGGACTAGCCAGAAACAGTCTAAATAGCTATCGCTGCCGTCAATCGACACACGTGCGGTCGAATCAACAAAAAGTTGTTGTTCGTTTGATGGCTGATTTTAACAAGTATTGCCAAGGTTAAATTTTCTTTGGATCCGCCAGAAGCAGCTAATTAAATCCTTGGTCCTTGCAGAGGCGGCCGCCGAGGAGCTGCCCGACTCGGAGGAGGAAGAAGACATCGGGGATGGGGACACCTGTAGCGCTCAAGATCTGGCCGCCCAGTTTCAGCTGCAGTACAGGCCGAAAGACGAAGCCAGCGTGTCCTTGCAGCGGGAGTATGTGCTTAGCCTGTCCGCCGACCAAGGATTTACGCGTGTGGCCGCCGGATTGTCCAGTTCCGCCGTGCATATCTACAATCTGGATGCGGGAGCTGGCACGTTGTCCAACTTCAGTTTCCTGCCGCCCTCGGAAGGTCAGAAGGTGACAACCTGTGGCGTCCGCTTTCTCGATGAGGGACCACACAACATACTGGTGGGCACTACCGATGGCTATGTGCGGCTCTACGATCTGCGGCTGAAGGGCGAACAGGCGCGCTTCAGTTACACCCAGCATCCTGAGGTAGCTCCGGTGCCCAAGTCAATCTCCTGCTTCGACAGAAACGCCAACGGGCGGATCATCTGCTGCGGCACCAACCAGTTTCACAGCAATGTGTTCCTTCTGTTCTACGACGTCCGAGAGCGCCGGCAGATGGGCGTCTACTGCGACAGCCACGAGGACGACATCACCTCGGTGCGGTTCCATGCCCAGAACCCGGATCTGCTGAGCACCGGCAGTGTGGACGGGCTGATCAACGTGTTCGACGTCAAGGAGCCGGACGAGGAGGAGGCCCTGCTCAACACCTTCAACACGGAGAGCAGCGTGGCCCGTCTGCAGTGGCACAGGAATGTGTACGACAAGGACGTCGTATCCTGCATCACAACCACGTGCGATTTCAAGAGCTACGAGAGCGAGGAGGGCGACGAGCTGGCCTCCTTCGAAAGGCCCGCCATTACGACGGCCATAGCGCGCAAGAACGTGGCCAACTTGAACGTGATCGGTGCCCACAACCAGGAGGACGGAGGAGTCTTTCTGCTCGCGGGCACGAACTACAACAAGGGGTGCGTTTTGAACCCGATTTTAGCTACGCCGAAACTAATACTTCTCTTTTTAGGGAGATCATGCGCTCCGTGAGCGTCACCTCCAAAAATACCCTGCAGCCGCTTGCAAACTTTCAGGGAAATAAGCAGATCGTAAGGGACAGTCTGTTCGACGCCAAACGAGGATTACTGGTAACGGGAGGGGAATGCGGCATCGTTACGGTTTGGACACAGCACTCGGAAGGAAGTGCCATCGCCGGTGACAAGCTGAAGGTCAAGAAGGAGAAGAAGTCGCGCAAGCAGGCGCCATATTAAATGTTTTGTTTTAAATAAAGGTTCAATGACAAAAAATTGTGTTTTGATTAGAAACAAAACTTCGCTGTTACAGAACTTACATGTTGTCACTACGTAAGGACGACCCGCACGTGCAAAGAGTGTAACATACTTTTTATCGTGTAGAATGTATGTAAAAATGGTGTTAGGTATGCACCGTTCAGTAGTCGGTATTTTGGGAGTATATTTTAAAATACTCAAAAGGCCAGCGATTCATTTTGCACCTCTATATAATTAAATATAAATATTAAAAAATATATAATTAATAATAAAATATTCAATTTAAATTTGTATAATTTTTTTTAAAAAGTTCAGTTCCTAAACAGCTTGCAGGTTAAAATATTTTGAAAGAACATTAAAAGTCCAGTTTCAAAATGAACATAAATATTTAAGAACGGCTTTCATTTTTTTCTTTTTCCCGAAGATAGCGACTGCGACGCTGGCAGAGAAGAGAGAGAGAGAACGCGCCGTTGGGCGTGGCTGCTGCTCCGGAAAATGGGAGCTGGCTCCAGGAGATGGCCACACCGGGTCCACCAATCGAGGGCAGCTCTCTTTCTCCGAAGAGCGTTTGCGCAGAGAGACGGAGCGAAAGAGTGTGGAGCGAAACCAGTTTGGAGTCAAGATTCAGAAGGAGGGGAGGCGTACAAAGATGGCCGACGATGCCAAGGGGCAGAGAAAAGAGCAGCGAAGTCACAATTATGGGGCACTCATTCATTGCGGTGTATGATGCAAACGGAGCTCTTCCCTCCTCCCTCCTCCTCCTTCACCCTCCCCCCTTTCCCGCCCCGCTTTCCTTGGCTTCGGCGTACAGTCGTCCGCCTTTAACTCGAATTTATTAAAAATGTTGTAATCCACTTCGCACAAGTCGCTCTGTGTGGAGTTTACAGAATGGAAATCAATGGTTGGTTGACTGAATCTTCATAATCTACAACTTTCAGTGCAAATAAGTTGAATGTATTAACTCAAGCTTTATTATGGGAGTATTACGCTTTCAGAGTTTTCGGGGAATACAAAATAAGCGGTTAAAAAAAATTACAATTGTAAGACAAGTTAATACAAATAGTGGTTTGAGGGAAAGCATTGCTGAAGCATCTAAGAATCATTTTTGTTTGTCTCGAAATTAAAATACATTTGTGAAATACCTATATTAAATATTATATAACTAAGAGACAGAGCTGAAACAATTTTCTCAGTAGGAAATGATACAAATTCGTTGGAGCTTCAGACGCCTGACTGTATATAACACTCACTTATCCGCCGGGTTTAATCAGGCAGTCGAAAGGGGGAGGGAAGGTATCCTTGCTCCGAGCCCATTCCTCCTTTCTCCTTTCTCCGTTCTCCCAGTTGACGAGTTAACAGCAATTAGACGTCGACGCCTCACGCAGGACTCGCTTTATTGGAGGTTTATTGAGCGGAATCTGCGGCGTCCCTCCGCCTCCCCTCCCCTCCTCTTCCCTTCCCTTCTCTCATCTTCTCTTCTCCTCTGTTCGTTGTCGTAATTGTTTTTCGGGGGTGGATGCCCAGCAGGGGGAGGAGGGGGGAAGGGGAAGGGGAAGGGGGTGTGGGTGTCAGTTCACCCGCTGACATTAATTGGTTGTGTACGAGCCAATTTGGCGTAAAAGGCGCTAAATTGATTGCCCTGTGGTTTTAATCGATGCGCATTCATTCCAAATCACGCACATTTATCACCCGTTGAACCAACCACCCCCGCACCCCCACCCCTCTCATTTTGGCATGAGATACAGCAGATAAAGCAGATACAGCAGATATAGCTGATATAGATATAGTAGCTGCGTCACATCTGCGCTGTTTTATAATTGCCGGCAATCGCTGACCGGCCAGCCGGCAATTAACTGAAGCTGATAGAGTCAAAACAGGGACTGCCTCTCCTGCAGATTCCTCGATTCCTCGCATCCTGGCGGCCATATAAACCCGTTATATAACCGGACCTAACTTTGGCGGAATTGGCAATGCTACCTGGGAAGCGGTTACGCGGAAGTCGGAGCTGTTTTTTAGCCAACGGATTGGCAAGAGGTAAAAAGGATAAAGGATAGGGAATAAAGGATCCGTGACTTTCGCGGAACTGCCGCTCGTAGGGTTATGAAATTTTACGCAAGCTGCTGCAAGCGGTAGTCCGTCAAGGACTCCGCCGGAGAGGAGACAAAGGGGTGCTGAAAGGATTTAGCAGGAAGTTCCTCCCGCCTCGCAGGATGTCCGTAATGGCACGCAATCAGCGCATAATTCCCGCATCATCTCCGCAATTTGCCAGAAGAAAAACTTGGCCAACACAAAGGCGTGAGTTGCGGAGTTGCTGAGCTGCTGAGTTGGTAAAAAAAGGAATCGGCATCCTTGGCGGGACAGGTATGCCGAAAGGATTTGCCGCACCCGCCCCCGCGCATCCAATCGGCAACTTAATTGCCAGAAATTCTCAAAACAAACGAAAACGAAAACAAACAAATAAACAGGACTCAGAACGGGGGCGAAAGGATTGACCGGGCCGACAATTAGGCCCGAACCAGATTGACTTTCTGCGGATCATCTGGGGTAATCGCAGTTAATCCGGCTGCTCTGGTTGCTCCTGCAGGACTCGCTGGACTCGCAGGACTTGCAGGAGTTGCAGGCGGGGCCAGAGCAGAAGTCAGTCGCAAATGCGAAAGGATTAGCCGCAGGTCAGCGGCAGTCGAAGGCAGCGCGGTTTCTGCTGCGGGTGCCGCCCTAATCCGGTCACGCCCCGAAATTAATGCAAACATTTAGAAGGATTAGCGCCCAAAGGGGTGACAGGATCCCATCCCGAGCGGGATTCAGGATTCAGGATTCGGGATTCGGCGAATGCGCGGCAAGAGTTGGGCGGCCATAAAAGCATGATAGGATTGCTAATTCGCCGCTACTTGTTGTCCATTCTGCGGCATTGTTCGGCTCGGATTTGCCGATCCAGGCTGCCACTTGGCTGCGGTTCTAACCAGGAATCCCTTCTCTCCTTTCCCTTCCCTTCCCTCTGCTGGCGAATCAAGAGCCGCGGCACAATTATGCGATTCAGGGAAGTGATTAGGGCGCAGATTAGAGCCAAAGAGTTGACAATATTTGTGGATTAGTCTCGGACTTGCCTGGGATCAAATCAGATCAGATCGAATCGGATCGAATCGAATCGGAGTGGAGTGCAGGTACCAGGCTCTGCGCATCATCCCCTCCAGCTTCCTAATTCCCAAGGACTTCCGGACGTTCCACTTCCTCAGCTCCTCGGCTCAAGTGGCCGCCCAAGGATCGCCGCTTGCCATTTAGGAGGCGCCATCTAAGAGTCCTTTTTAAGGCCACCATCAGTCAGCCAGCAAGTAAGTCAGTAAGTTAGTTAGTGAGTCAGTCAGTCAGGCAGACGGAAAGAGGAGATATATTATACATATATGCGCATATATCCATCCTGACTAAATCTCAAGTGCCTGAGAACTGTGAAGTGGAGCAGCAATTATGTTGTCGTCGCTTTGATCTGCTGCCTGCCACTCACATGCGGCTGCTTCTGTGGCTGCCACTCCATCCCACAGCCCATCGATGCTTCCTTAAGCGCTCTTTAATTGCTTAATTGTATGCTAATTGATGGCATCCATGGGACGCTTCCCGTCTTCCGGAGCAGCTTCCCAGCTGCCATTGGGGGAGCAGCCATTTCCGAGTGGCCCTGCATTAGGCATTAGTCAGTTGTTTATTTGTCAGATGCGCAGATATGCATGGAGATGCAGACAAGAGACCCAGATACTCAGATATAAACGCATCCAGATCCGCAGGCATTCAGAGATCCAGCGACACATTAGGCGAAAGAAAGCGCTTAGTGTTTTATGGAGGATTGAGGCGAGGGCCGTAAACGGCTAATCCGGAGTCTCGGATTCCGGCTAACGTCGCGCGGATCTGCGATCTCCCGATTTTTAGCATGCTAAAAAGGACTCGCCGGACAGGCAGGAGCGATCGCAAATGGCCTGTGAAAAAAGGACAATGCGGGAGGTCGAAGGTCGTTCGCTCGTTCGCTCGGTGGTTTCGCCTTTGGTTTTGGTTTCGGTGGTGCGCTGCTGCCGTTGGCGGTGCCCTCTGATGAGAGAGGGGTTGTGGGGTGGGATACGAAAGGAGGGGGAGGGAAGGGGAGGGGGCAAAGGCAAGGTCAGCTGGCCGCAATTAACGCGCCTAATTTGCATGTCACTTGCGTTGTGCGGCGGTCCATTTCAAAGGGGGATCCCTGTGATTCGTGTGTGAATCTCTGGAACCGAGAGAATCCCTCTGGCGGTGGGAGCTTTGAAGTGCGGGAGTCCTGCGGCTTTCCCGGTACGTGACACATCCTCATCCTCAACCGGACCAATTCCCCTTGTGACAACCTTGTGACTTTGTGACTTACTTTTTTCTCAGCCTGCCATTAACAGATCATTTGCAGCGGAATCATCCGCTCTTTGTTCTTCTTTTTTACGATTCGAGGGGATTGGGATCGAAATCGCGGGATCGTTGGAAAGTCAGTTCTAAAAAACACACTGCGCACCGCAGTGAGTCAATTTTTTTACGGCCCGGCCAAAAGGCAAGGTCGTCCCGCCGTTCTCTTCCGCTTCCGAATTCCGCGAAGTGCGAATTTCTCGGGCTGCAAACAGGGAAACATGCGAACCTGGAAACCTAAAAACCTAAAAACCTGAAACTAGAACTAGGATTCCGATGCAGTTTTTTTATGCCGACTAATCTTTATGGCCTAAAAAACGGAACAGAGCCCGGCGAATATCATCTGCGCCATAAAACGGGCGTAGGTAAGTCCGAAAAAAACGGCGGAGGACAAAGGACGAAGCGTCCCGCTCGAGAGGCTCCGGGAAATTCGAGAAAAAATGACTTCATTTTTTAGAATCAGTGCGCGAAATGTGAGCGGAGGGCGGTCCGCCCGCGGCTTTACGACCGCCATTAGAGCCCTAAAAAAATAAGGCGAAAAAACGAGAGCTGTAAATCATGGCAGCGGCTAAACGGACTCAGGATTCAGGATTCAGGACTTAGGGTCCAGGATACAGGATTTCAGGCTTTAGGATTCAGGATTCAGGGTGTTCCAGGCTCGAAGTCAAACCGCAATAAAGTTGACACGTCGTGCGCAGGATCTGAAAAGTCGGGCCCTCGACTGCGGAATCGGTAATCGGAGGTCCTCCGCCACATAATGTAAAGTGCCTCGGCGTCTATGTACCTCACAGTCTGTATCCCAGTATCCCAGTAGCTCCGTATCAGTACAAGTATCTGTATCTGTGAATGTAAATGTATCTGCATCTGTATCCATCGCTATGCGAGTGACCCTGTGTGTGCAGGACATGCGCAGAGGACTCGCCGCCGGCCACACCAGTGATTGCCGCAATCATTCTAGTTTCATTATCTGGCCTGCAGATTTATAGCCCCCCTCCTGCTTCCCATTTGGAACTCCGGACAGCCGCAGCATCCATCAGGGCTGAATTGATTCAGGCCGCAACTGCCGCTCCGCATTACATTCGAGTGAAGCCTGACCAATTGGCCAGTGGACGAGCCACCCTCCCCCGAACGGAAATTAAACGGAGATGTTGGCTAAACAGATTCGATTGTCGCGATTATCAGTGCGTTAATTCGCGTGGCAATGGCAATGGGAAGCGGGACGGACGGGCGGAACGGGCCGATAAACGGCGCATGGTCCGTTAATGGCCAGCGTGCAAATCGGCAACTTGTCATGGCAGCCACATAAAATCCAATCCACCAATCTATATGTATATACAAATCTGTTTGAATCCAACATGACGCATGGAGGTTGTTCGGCTGAATGCTGAATGCTGAATGCTGTGTGTGCGGGAAACGTGTGAAATTATTTCAGAGCTGGCATCATCATTTTACAAAGATGTTTATTCATCCGCCGGCTGATTGCGAAACCCCTTTCCCCGCTCCTCCAGCTCCCCGCAGAGGTTCATCTATTGGCGGGGCCATAAAGCATTTTCGACTTCGTTTAGCAGCTCTGCAATTGCTCCGTGAGAGGAGTGGCTGGGAACCCGAGGCTCCTCTCCCGGAGATTGGAGATCGTCCTCAGATCTCGCCGTTGGAGTGGCCAAGCAGCCAGTCTCCCTCGCCTCTGATGATCGCTTTATGTTCATTGACAGTTAGTGTGAAACTCTCGGCAATAAATCGATGTTGGATGTTGGATGGAGGATGGAGGAGGGCCGAATTGCGGTCGTCTTGGCCACAAAAGCTGCCTTTTGTCGGCTCCGCAGCTGGACCATAAACGGCCCATTCCGAGGTGCTAATTCACTATTAAAAGAAATCAGAAACAGCAACAGAAACTGAGAAACCGAGAAACTGAAACACAGATAGCAAACCCTAGTTCCTCGCTCATCACGCCCCAATAAAACCTAATTCTGTTTGCACATCATATGGCCGAGGAATGGAGTCGCGCCTGTTGAATAATGCATTGTTTTCTGTGGGAGAAGTTCGCATGAAGTGTAGGCCATTCATTCCCAGCCAGCTCGATTGCCCCATAAACGGGGAGCAGCTCGGCTCTTCTCGGGCTCTTCGGCCTAATTGATAATAATGCCGCATCTGCTCCCTCGCCCGAAGCCAGTTAACTCTTTCATCCGCCGGCGAGCAGCTGAGGGTCAGCAGTTCTTCACTCTCCACCATCCAGTTCCCAGTTCCCAGTTCGAAGTTCGAAGTTCCCAGCTGCCCGCCGGACAGGCTAATCCTCCTGCCAGCCATTTCGGCAGCCCGTCGCATAATTTAGCCATAAACAACTTGATGATTTCCGCATTTCCACATTTCAGCATTCAGCAGGAACACTCCTAATCCCCACATGATTAATTATCAACCTGCGCAACCTGCATCCCCCGGCTTCAATCCTGTCGAGATTCCCCGCTTGGCTACTTTTTAATTTACTCTATCCGAATCCGAATCCGAATCCTTCTGGATGGCAATTCCCCAGGGCGCGAGCGTGGCGTGTATCTTTATTATCAAATCATAAAATGCTGCCACTTGTGAGCTCGCATCCCCCCAGCGAAATCACGGTCGATTCCCGGAGAGGAGTTGGAACTCCGGGCAGAAAAGGGTGCGCCACTCCAGCCGAAGGATAACACTTCACGGACCATTTTTTATGCCTCGCCTGGCAAGTGTCAAAACATGTTTTGATGCCCTGCGCTCAATTAGATATTGTACTTGGGGTGACTTCGCATCCGTATCTGTATCCGTATCTGTATTTGTATCTGTATCTGTTGTATGCGTATCCTTAAATCCCTTTATCCCTCATCCCCCGTCCACTTTGACTTGCTGACTCTGGTTTTTTAGCTGCGGGATTATGAGCAATTGACACCCCTTTTCACCAGCAATTGAAACACATGTTTTGCCGGCAATTAAATAGGGATTTCATTCCGCCAGGACCTTCTCGCTCTCTCTTTCGCTCGTCCTTCCCAATGATTTCTCAATTATGACAATCGCTCCGAAAACAAACATAAGGCCAGCGGAACTGCGCCACGGGTGAGATATTTCGTGATGCGATGAGGTGAGGCGACAATTAATTAGCCGAACCCAATCCAATCCGAGGACACGAGGAACGGAATGCAATCGATGCAACCTGACGCGTGCCAGGGGTGGCCCTCCTCCTCCTGCCCAAGGACTCCGCCCAGCGGGTGGCTCTGCAGCTCTATGGAAGAAGAGCTCTATAGAGAAGAGTATGCCCTTCGGAGCCCCCCGCTTCGATCGCATTAACAGACCAACGGCTTGTGCCAATCCCCCGGGGATCTGGCAAGGACCTTCCCCGTGGAGGAGGATGTGGGTGGCCCCTCCGAAGGCCACTCTCTTCCGCAGGCACACTCTCCGCCGAAGGTCGCATGCCAGGAGGCGCAGCTGTCGGGGGTTTCTCCACAGCTAATCCGCACTCCGGAATGGCAGCTCAGGTAACTGGTTCCCCGTTCCCTCATCCCTCATCCCAGGTAGTCGCAAGGAGCAGAAGTGTCGCATGATTTTCAGTGTTTTCGGTTTATTTTGATTTCGATTCGAGTCTTGCTTATCACTATCACTACATTAACATTAACATTAGCTACTGTAACTCTAGAGTATCTTACAATCTCCGGGAATAAATAGGAGTGCGGGGCGACTAAGCCTAGTTTGTACAATCTTCCAGGGGTTCAAGGGACACCAGGGTACTCGGGGGATCCTCCTGGACTCACGCCTCAGTCTTGTAGGGCTTGAAGAGCTTCGGCTTGGGCTCCGCGATCACGGTGGTCGCCGGCGGGGGCGACATGTCGGAGGCGGGCCGCTTGGCGCTGGGCATCAGCAGTCCGGGAGCGGGCAGCGGGCTGGTGGTGGTCAGCGGGAGCGGACCAGAAGCGGGAACGGGAACGGGACTGCGGTCGAACACCTTGGCGTGGTCGGATCCCACCGGCGAGAGCGAGAGCGTGGAGGAGTGCGGCGAGGAGGAGGACTGCAGGTCCAGCGGCGGCGTCTGCGTCTTGGGCAGGCCCAGTCCTGGGTAGCAGGCGGAGGAGGAGATGGCCACGGGGGGCAGGGCTCCCAGCAGGCTCGCTGAGTAGGCTGCTCCTGCAGATGCTGATGCTGATGCAGATCCTGACGAGGATGCGGAGGCGGAGACGGAGGCAGAGGGGCTGGAGCCCATCATGTGCGGGTGCATATGAGGGCCAGCGGGCTGCGGGGGCGTCGGCCGGGCGGGGATGTGGTACGGCGAGTAGCGGTACTGTCCGTACGGCGAGGCGTGGGCGTGGCCATGGCCGAGGGGCATCTGAGGCATCTGCGGCATCTGGGGCAACTGGGGCATGCCCATCGGCAGCTGGGGCATCTGGGCCATTTGGGCCATCTGGGGCATCTGCGGCATCATGGGCGGGTAGGGCATGCCCACGCTGTTGGCCGCCGCCTGCAGGATGGAGGCGGCGAAGGCGGGGTCCGAGTAGACGGCGGCGTACGGCCAGGCGACCGCGATGCGCTGGCGCTTGTCCTTCATGCGGCGGTTCTGGAACCACACCTTGATGGTGCTCTCCGGCAGGTTGAGCTGGGCGGCCAGCTCGCACCGGCGCGGCCGGGACACGTAGTTCTCCTTGTAGAACTCCTTCTCCAGGCGGCCCAGCTGGTCGCGGGTGAAGGCGGTGCGGTACCGCCGGACGGACGGGTCGGCGGGAATCTCCGAGCCGCGGCTGCCGTTCAGCGAGTTGTCAGGACTGGATAGGCATTCTAATCAAAAAGAAGAAGAGAAAGGAGGAGTAAGTAACTTGCCACTGGGAAGGAGCTTCTATTTAAACTTACCATTTGGCGAGGGGGGCGGCGTCTGCGGCTTGCCGTATTGGCTGGACAGAAGGTCGACGACCAGCGGCTTCTGGTCCACGGGACTGGCGTCGTGGTGGCTCTCCATGTTGTAGGTTCGGTATCCGTGCATCTTGCGGCGGAGTGTCTTTGTTTCCAGATCGACTTGAGTTGAGTTGGTTCGAGTTGCTAGCGAGTTGCGAGTTTCGGGATGCGATGTCGACTGTGCGGCGCTCACAGCTCGAGTGTGCCTCTCTCAGCCACCCCGCTCCCTTTTATACCACTGCTTCGCGCAGGCAAATGGCCGCCTGTTCCCGCGAACAGCCAATCGCAGTCGCGCAGGCAGGTGCGAGCGGGACAGCACGAGCGGTGCTAATCTTGCGGTGCGGAGAGCCTTGCTTCGCGATGCCTGGTTGCCAAACTGCGATGCTGAGCGGCGATTACGAGGCGGGACAAAGAGGGAAAGGAGGAGCAGCAGGGGGGAGCAGTGGGGCATCCCAGAGAGAGCGAAAAGGCGAGAAAGCGAGAGAGAGGGAGTGGAAGAGCGAGGCAGATTTGGTATTCATAGCGGATGAGCGAATCTTTTGTCTCGCCCGCCCGCAGGCGAAGGCTCCGCAGGAGCGAGCGGGACGGGCGGCCCCCTTAATAATGGGATTTTATCGGCTTCATCAAGAATGATATGGCATAATGCCGCTCAGTCGACTGGTGGTGCACACAACCGGGCATTTACTATATACACACATATATTTATCGATCGCTGCCAGCGAATTATTTGCGCTTTTATGAAGTCTTAATATTATGCCGCACGTTTAACAGCCCCACACACTGGAGAACCCAACCCCCCAAAGAAAGGGAGAGGGGGAAGGGGAAGGGGAAGAGGAGGGGGAGGGGACAGCATTACCATTTGGGAGCTGCCACGGCGGATAATGGCCGCCTTTTGGGGGAAGGACGCAGTTGGCGGGACTTAATTTGAAAAGTTTTCGGTTTCGTTTGGCAAAACATTTATTATGATGATATAATCATGCCGGACTGTACGCAACTGTACGCCCTTCGGGCAGAGGGTCCTGTGTGGTGGTCCTCGCCAGGATGGAGCTGAGCGAGGGGGCAACTACCTCCTACCTGCTACCTCCTTTGGGCAACGGGTTAAGTCGGCGGATCAAGCTAAGTCCGCGCAAAAAATAACCCACTTATCCGCCGTCCGCTCGCTAGTCCGTTAATTGCGCTGCCTGGAATGCCTCGAAAGGATCGAATGTGCTAATCCTTCGACATCATTATTATGTGTTTTTACGACTTTCTAATGAAACGCAGGCGGTGCGGGGCCGGGTTCCAAGTCCGAGTCAATCCCCGCTAATCCCGCAAACAAACAAACAGGGCTCTGCGATCGAGTCGGATCGAATTCCTGACTCCGCAACCCGCTTTCGGGATCTGTTTATGTACACATGTAGTCGGCGGGACCCTGACTGGCGGTTCCGTCTAACTCGGCCGCTCAATCGATCCGGCGGAAAGCGGAGCGGCAACGGCAACGGCGGGCAACTCAGCGTGTTACCAAAGATGCCGCAATAAAATCTAACTCGAAAGTGAAGCGCTCGAAAGCGAAACTCGGCGATTGACTAATAATCTGGCCGATCCCGATGGCAAACGGATTAACACGGCAACAGACCTTCGATCTGGCCCAGTTTGAAAGGCCATTGTTCTGCAATACCGGGTAACCTGGTTATAACCTGGTAACCTTATAACCTTATAACCATATAGCCTGCTAACCTGGTAAACGGGAAGGATTCCCGCTTCTGCGAGCTGGTTCGAATTATTGGGTTATATTGCGCCGCAATTTGCATCGGCATTAACTCGACTACGGCGACTACCTGCATGCCCTGCAAAGGAAAGGGCCGAGCAAGCCTTCTTGGCCGAATCTTGGCTCGGCTCGAACCCTACCCACAAGCTACAACCTTGCCTATTGTGCGCCGCCGGAGTCTTTGTCTTTGACTCCGTCCGGACTCCGGAGAATGGGCCGCTGGGTTAAGTTGTCAAGCGGGGCTGCGGCAGCGACAGTAAATACCCTTTATGGCGGCCCTAGGGTTGTGTTGCCCAGCGAAAGTGTCCGCCGAGCAGCAGAGTACCTGCTTTCCTCGATCCCAATACCGATCCGCGAACACTTTCGCATTTCCCCGCATCTCAATACCCGGAACGCTGGCAGCGAATCCCGCTTTATTGCCCATGTATTCTGCATTCTGCATTCTGCATTCCGCATTCTGCACTCACAAAGCGCCGATCTCGCTGATTATGCCCGTCATCATGGCAAGTAAGTGGTAAATGGTAAATGGCCAACACACTGAGGAAGGCTCGAATCGCAAAACGCTGAGGAGGCGCGGAAAAAGGCGGTGCAAAAATTGGCAATAAAACTACGAAAACGAGGGAATTATGCTTGATGATTGAGCAATTTCTGCAATAAAACAATTACAACAAAGGCCGACGATTTATGGTGATTGCGATGGGTTGAGTGCCAGCTGAGGATGGCCCTGTTTTTTCTATCCGAGTATATATGGAATATATTCATTCTTGAATGCGTACTCATATGTGTTCGTTTCCATTGTTGGGGGGATTTTTGGGGTTTTGAACTACATAGTTTTTTAAATAACTGAATTGTGAATGTAGAACTCACTTAAGTACTTATTGCTTTCCTACATTTCCTTGAAGGAGGAACATTTTTAAGCAACCATTCTATTTCGGATCTGTGTAGTGATTTTCCGCTCCGCCTTTTCCAGAGTTTTCCCCCCACTCCACCCGCAGGGAGGAGGAATGAGAGACCATCATCCCCCGAATAAATGTGGTGGCTGCCATCCTCCACTTTGCCCGGAACTCGACTCCCCGCACTCAAATAACCATAAAATGCCTGAGGAGTGCATAAAAACATGAGTAATTTAATTTCCAGCAAACATCGTAAAAAGTGCTTAAGCATGGGGAACACTTTTCAGTCAATCGACGAATTAGCGGCATTTATGTGAGGAGTGTAAAAGCCCTCCTGAAACTATTTGCTTCTGCTTTCAATGGGAATGCAAAAGAGCCTCTGAAAGAATCTTCTCTTTTCCGAGGGAAAGCGTCGCCCAATCAAAACAGAAATTTCCAATAATTGGGAAAACATAGCAAAGTATCATATTTTGTGCTGTTGTTATGCTCGACCTCGTAAAAACGGATCTTAAAAACGAGAGCGGGCGAGTTATGGCCGCAATTACAGGTAAGTAGAGCGCTAACCTTGTGCGCGTTTTCCAGGAGCCCAAATAAAAACCCGTGAAGAATTAAAAAATTAGAGCAGTTCGCTGGGTTCGGGGAAAAAAAGTAGCGCAGCGCAAAAAGCGGACAATGGGAACAAAAAACGTGATCTACTTTCCTAATACCGGCGAGCGGACCTTAGCGGAGGTCCTCGCGGCAGGACACTCCGTTCCGCGAACCACATCGCCGACCCATAAAAATCTGCATACCATAATTCGTCCAGAGTTTCTTTGCCGGACAAAGGAAATGGCAGTGGAAATGGGAGTGGAAATGGAAATGGAAAACGGGGCCATAAACCGTAAAGCACAAAAATCGGGCGGGCAGAACAAAAAACTGATCTAGTTTTCTAATGCAGCGAGGTCGGCCTGATTTCGAGGATCCTGCGTCCTCGTTGTCCTGCGGTTCCGCCGAAGGTGCACCAATAAAAAGGCGCGTCCGCTCTGCCAGCTCGCCAGCAAGTTCCTCCGCAGATCCTCCTACCTAGTTTTTTCGGCCCAATTTTTAGTGGAAATGCGAGCGGGCAATAAACGTTGTCCTTCCGCCGGACAACGACTAACTGCCGTAATTAGGAGGTTTGTAGGGCGAAAGAGGCTCGGGATCCGCTGCCCGGAAAAAGTGACAATGGAAAAAACTCATAAAAAGAGCAACAAAGTGGCCCAGAAAGAAAAAAATTGGCTCGCTTTTTGTCGAACAAAAAGAGGCCACAAAAAGCGTCCACGAGCCGCGAGTCCTGTGTTGTCAGGACTCACAATCGGGCCAAATAATTAGGCGAGCGATTGTCCGCTCTTTGTGCGCCCGATGATGAGCGGTTTCTTTTTTAGGACTCGCCTTTTTGGGAGGGAGGTGTTTTTAGGAGCTGTCCGTGGGATCTATCAATGAACTCAGGGATCGCATTGTAGTCCCAAGTGGTGCTGATCAAATAATTGTATTACTGAGGGGTTCGGTAGAATACCAATATTGGTACTCAGTCAATTTACTCATCAACTTCCAAACTAAAAAACATGATAACAGAATTGCAAACATTTTATTTAGACATACTTTTTTATTTTCCTTTAGAGCTCATACCTAATACTTAATACTTAATAAAAGAGGTAAAATGACCAGTGAGTGGAGTACTTTAATGGCGAGAAAAGCCATTTGATAGATGCAAATTGGGGCATCTGCGACAGACTCCCCACGGGGGCCAAATCAATCGGACACGTTTACTATAAATACAGCGCATTGCGGTCTCCGAGGCAATTCGATTGAACCTGTGACCAATTCCGAATTCCGATTCGGGCGAAGGACAACTTGCGGAGGAGCAGCAGGAGCTCGGGTTCGGATTCGCCAACAAACGCTGCTGGAAAGCCGCAGATTGCAGGGTCACAGGACTCGGGACGGAGTCCTGGGAGAGCGCAGTAGCAGTAGCAGTCCACCGCACTGACGAATCGCATCAAAGTGGAACACTGAACACTGGGTCCGAGGACCGGGCTCAGGGTCAGGCGTCCTGCTAACAGACATGTCAAATCACGGAAAAACAACGACGACAGGACACAGTGCCGCCAAAGGAGCAGCGCAGCGCAGCGGAGGGGGAGGGGAAGGTCCTGCAGGACAACACAGCCATCGCCATCGACATCGATTCACCGCAGCAAATTTGCGCTGACTGTGCGAGAACAGCGGGACACACCATAATATTTTGGTTGCTCGACGAAATCTTCGCCGGGGAACGGAAGACTCTGGCTCTGGTTTCGGAGGAATCGCTCGCAGCCCGGGGTCTTTATTGATGGCAATTAGCCACGGTGAGTGGCGGTTTCGAGTGAGCTGCAGGACTCTGGCTACTCCGCTTCAGACTCCGGTATCTGGACTCCGAATGGGCCCCTTCTCGCGTTGGACTCGCTCTGCAGGAGCAAACCCACAGCTTCAGTGGCGGCGTCGAGATATCCTTCTTGTTTCTGCTGCGAGCAGCCTGTAAATTTGGGCAAATTAAGTCGTTCCGGTTGTGCCCGTTTTTAGGTGGTACTTCTGTAGCAATTTTATTTGTATCGTAGGTGTGGTATTTGTCAACATTTAGCCAGGACTCTCGGAACTCTCCGAACAGGCAGTGGCAGCGGATTAGCCGATTTGTGGGCACGGATTCGAAATGCCTACTGCAGCACTAATTGGGCCGCTCTCTGTGCGAAGGAATGCAGGACGCAGGATGCAGGATGCGGGAGGAACGGAGGGAGGGGCAGGGGCCGCTCTAAGGATGCGTTTATCTGCGCTGAGGACGTGCTAATTTTTTACCCAGCAGAGCTTGCTGCGAGCAGAAATGGGCGATAAGTGCACAGGTTGGAGGGTGAATGAAGTCGTCACTGGGTTTACTGGATGTCCCTAGGGGAATTCAGTCGAAACTTTTCTCGACTTTCATACAATATCGATTTTCGTCATACAATATTAAGGTGCATAAGTAAAACAGCCCTAGGCAACAGCTTTAGTTAAAAAATCCTGCTTTTAAACAAATGCAAGCCACCACTTATTTATTAATATTTTTTCTCTTTTATAAAATACACTATTTTCTGGGATCAGTAACAAAGTTTTTAAATACGTTGCTTTAATAAAAACCAATAAAAAATAAGTGCAAAATCAGCCATAAAAAAATCCAAAAAAAAATTATTTGTATTCTAGAAAGAAATATATATCGGTAGGTATTAGAATGAACTAACATTTATTGGCGAAAAACTAGATTTTCAGTGCTTTTTGAATCCTTGATTTTTTAAGGAGCAGATAAATCATAAATTTAGTATTTTCGTGTGTAATCTCATGTAGATACTATGTTTTATGTTTGACGAGACCAAACAACGTTCTATCAAAAGTATGCTACATTACTTAAATAAAACGTAAGCTTCTTACGTTACCAACGTTTCAAAGTCTGAAATCAGCTAACTTCTGTCAGAGAGCAATGTAGTGTTGGTCGTTATCCCAGACAACAATTTTCAGATAAATACCGCGTTGCCAACCACAGCAGTTATCGATGGCAATCGATATTTTGAGGTATGTTGCGTTCATCCCAAAACTAAGGCGATATTTCAAAAGTGTTTTTTTAGTACCCCAAAACGGCCACACTCTTGTTTCGGTTAATAATACTATCGCCATTCGCGGCCCCAAAACAAAAAACGGTTTGATCGCGCGACTGTCCGTCAGTTTGGCTGCAGTTTAACCGCCGCATTTGACGCCCCAAAAAAGTGAAAGTATTTCTGCATGCGAAACGCGACAAAGAGTCGCGGAGTGGGAGTGGGTCAGCGAGCAAGAAGAAGCAGCGGCGCAGAAAGAGAGGCGAGGCAGACACAAAAAAGCGAAGCGAAAATCGGAAAAAGTGCATTAACGAGGTCGCAAAAATCACTGCTAAAAGGTCAATTCGCGTTAGTTAGTCTAGTTAATTAGTACAGTACGTCCTACGTCCGTGCAATTCATACGTTAAATACATATATATGTGACCGAAATCGGTGTGTTCAGTGTGTGCGAGCAAGAAAGAGAAGGCGAGACCGACATGGGCACTGCAAAGGAGCGAGGAGAGCAGAACGAGGGCGACGCCGCCACCACCCACACAACAACAGCAACAAGAGCAGCGGCAGCTACTAAGGGAGCTTCAACAGCAATAACAACAACAGCAACCACGACGAATGCCGCCAAAAAGATTCGCCGCGCCTTTTCCATGCCACGCAATCCCTTCCGCTGGTCGCGCAAGTTTAAAACGGCAGCAGCCGTTACGTCGTCGTCGTCCTCGGGAGTGGAAAACGGAAGCGGCAAGGATAACGGGAAAGGAGAGCGACGTGGCAGCCACACGGCCATCTCGTCCTGCGTCGGCGGGGGGCGGGGAAGGAGTGGCAGTATTGTGTCACTTAGCAGCTACGAGGCTCCCGTCTCGACCACGAACAACAGTAACATGGCCAACAACAACAACAACAACACCACCGCCAGCAATGGAAACAGCAGCAGCAATAACAACAACAACAACAAGAGGGCACGTGCGCTGAGGCGTTCGTCCTTCAGGAAGTTTCTCAACCGGATCGCTCAGCATCTCAGCTCATCAGTGAATGTGGTAAGCCCTAGAAAAACATTTATTGCCAGAGATTCTTGTTTTCAAGGCTTAAAAATTTAAGTAGAATAAGGTGAATCATTGTAATGTATTGATACCGAACAATGACTTATTCCTATTAATCACACAGTTGTGTTTTTAAAACTTTATTACACAAGTTGTTACAATTTACGAATTCACCCACTGGTGTCTAGTTCAATAAAATTGTAGATGACTTTCAAATAGTAAATGGGGAATAGCTTAATATGTTAAGGTGTTAACTTGAATAAAATATAAATCAGCAGAGCGACAAAAAGTCAAACGATCAGAAAAAATCAATTTAGCGAACTCGAAAACACGGGAAGAGGCAAAGGAAAATTTTCAAGTCAGCATTATTCTGACAATAGGAGTCTATATTTCTTAAACACATTTGTTTGCTCTTACGAATGTGTTATACGATCCTTTGTTTACTTTTCAGGGCTCGTACTTCGGTTAAATAATAATAATGGTCTTTGTGTCTAATTACCTGCAAATAGGAAATTGTAACACGCGATTGCCGCTCGTAAACCGTTTGTTTGCAATTTGGGAGTGCGCATAAACGTAGTCAATGCAGTTCTAGTACACCTTCTTTCTTCCTTTGTTTGCGCGCTGCTTAGACTGCAGCTTCTAGCTCTGCAGCGTCCTCCCCGTTCTCCGAGTCCCCTACAATGCTCCGTGCTCTATAATGCTCCTTATCAGAGCCGTGCATGCATGAAAGGCATCGTTTAGTGCGTTATCGGCTGCTTTGTTTTGCTCGTGTCTGCGGCTGCTCTTTGCTCTTTGTCTCGCCGGACACATGGCATATGTATCTGTATCTGTATCTGTATCTGCATCACCATGAGCATCTGCATCTGCATCTTCAACTGCGATTGCTTCTGACTTTGCCACCGATTTGGCACCGTTTTGTCCTCTCATTGTGCCGCATGGACTCACCACCCACTGGGCGGAGAAACGGCACGAATCGCCCTTTGCCACGTTTCTGCTTTCGCTCAGCCAGTCTTTTTGTTTTGCTCCCGTGCTGAGTCACATTTTGCGTGACCGTCGATAAGGGAGGCGTACGAGTGTATATCAGTCCGAAAAGCGGCTTATTGGGACTTTGGCTGGCCTCCTTCAGGGAGTTTCGGTATGGTAATCTATATGGCAGCCCGGTCTTTGTTCACACATTCCACTCCCGGATAAAAGCCTTTGTTTACACAACTATAAATACATCGGATTCCGCTTTTTGAAGTGAATCTCAAATGTTCTACGCTCTTCAGCACCAATTTACGATTACCATACTCGAGGACGGGGCATGGAAATAAATTTTATTTTTAAACAATTGCTGTCTCATTATTATCATAATTTTTGTGGTGCTTGGAGTGGTCGGGGGAACGGTGTGCGGTGCTCGGTGCTCGGGGGTCTGTAACTAGGTATAGGTGGGCGCCTTTTGTTTCGCAGACAGCAATTGTTCAAACAATTTTGTGTAAATGTTGCCAACATTTGTTGCTCCGTTCGCGCTATAATAAACAAACAAGCAAGCACACACAGAGCCCGAAAACAAGAGTTTTCCAGGTCGCGAGCTGCTGGAGCGAGACACAAGTTAATGGTGATGGGGTGAGCCGGGTATCGGGAAGCTCTGGGGAGCGGGAAACGGGCAACGGGGGAACTCAACTCCCAACAAGGAGGCGCAAGCCGACAAATGTGTGCCACGCTTTTGTCCGAGAAGACAGCGCAACAAAGTGGGGAAAGCGACAGCTGAAGACAAGTGCAGGGCGCAATGACACACCCCGTGGCCTCCAGGCGTTCCATTTCTCTCCAGAAAGCGATAGCAACAGACACTCGTGGCTTCTGGAACCAGTTTGATCTAATAATACTTGCATTGGGTGCCCACAGTGTGCGTATCAATTGGAATTCACAGTGGAACTTCAGTGGAAGAGCACAAAATGCGTTTTAAACTAAAAGAAATAAATTATGGTGCTTATGAACGGTTTCTCTCCTTATTCAATATTACGATTTTCTTAAAAAGAAACGGGTAGTAGCCATGTTGGGGTAACATTCATGATGATCGATAAACAGAGGCCTTACTGTGACTCTATAACTATTGCTGCGCGAGTTTGATTAATTGTAGAGGGCAAGACCTGACGGACGTAGTGCAGCTGACCTTTCGGCGCTTCGAATTCCAGAACGATAACTGCATACGAAAACAGACTTAATTTCATTCAAAGCGATGCGGCAATGAGTAGCGAAGGCGGAGGGGGAGGGGGAGTGAGCGGGAGGGGGTGAAGGGGCGGTGTGGGTGGAGCACGTGAAGCTCAATGAAAACTACAGTATCTGTAGTTTCTTCCGTTGTTGTTTTCGAACTGAGAGGCCGCTCGCCGATTGGAAAACGAGTGGAAACGGGGGAGGCTGCACTTACGGCAACGGAAAGCTCAACTGATTTGCCTGCTGCAAGCTTTAACTGTACCGTTATTGGCGTCCAGCTGTAGAGTTGGTCTTTTTGTTCCCCTTACCTTTTGTCTTTTGGCACCTTTCACCAACAAAAGACAGAAAAAGGCAAAACATTCGTTAAGCTGAGCAACAAGTACTTACTTCTGCCGCTGTTTGTGGGTATTTTCTTAATGACATTATGTGGCAATTGAGCATTGTTGGTGTGCTCGTTGGGCGATTACCTCATTGTAAACAATTGCTGGATTTATGAATCATGCCGCTGGCACTTGGCATCTCGTTTCGCGCATTTCGCATTGATTTTATTCAGAAGCTGAGTTTGAATAGCTGCAGAAAAACAGCAAAAAAAAAAAAAAAAAAAAACAGCAGCGCAACCAGCGGAAAAGCGAAATGCAAAAAGAAAGGAAAAGAAAAAGAAAAATGAAATCGCACTGCGAGAACTGCGAGAAAAACTGGGAAACGGCGGCAACAACACCAGCAATGATGTGGCTTATTAAAGATTGCATGCCAAAAATTGCAAATGCCAATGGGTTCAGGGGGAGCACGGGGAAGGGGATGGTTGGGTGGTTGGGCAGTTGGGGGAGACGGCATAAAAGTCAGAAGTGACACTCTGTGTGACGATCTGAGCAACAACAACTGCGGCCCAAACAACACGTGAAAAGGCGCACATGCAAGTGCACAAAAAATAAGATTGAAATTTTCCACTAAATTGACTGTTTAAATAAATTAATCAGACAATAAATAAATTCCGCACAAGTGATGCACGAAATACTCTCGCTAATATCCACTTAAAATACCTCGGGAGATCATCCAAAAGCTGCTTCATGAGCAGCCTGTTTTTCGCTCAGTGCCTGCAACAGTTTTGTCTATTTCCGTAAGCTTTGGCGTTAGCCACCCACAAAACCGTGTCTCATGTTGTTGCTGTTGCACTTGTTGATGGCGAGATTAGTACGTAACATTAGCGTCCCGCCCCCGCCAAGCCCACCGCCTTCGTCCGCCTCTGTTTGCTGATTTTCTATGATATTTCAAGTGCACGAACGGGGTATTCCGCATGGCAGGGGGTGGCAATTGGCGATGGGGGATGGGAGGGGGAGGGGTCCAAGGGGCCTTTCGCGCACTCGTACTCTTTGTATTCCGTATTTCCGCCCGGTGGCTCACACGTAACCTTTGCTGTTGTACAACTGTGCGAATTATTGTCTATGGTTGTTTGTGTTCGCAGTGCGATTCCTAGCGCTACAGTTGCTCTATTGTTGTTGTTGCTTTCGCTGGGGTTGCCTCGCACGTTTTGCACTCGCTCTTGCCGTCCCGCTCCCCTTCCCCATCGCCCCTCTCGCTCTGCCGTTCTGACTGAATTCGCTTTCAAGGTAAAATCAATTGAGATCAAACTAATTGAAAAAATGTTTTCAGAATTTTTAGCCTTTGCGTTTATTTTCGTACTTCCATGGCCCGGCACGTTTATTTTCATAAACAATCATTTTAGAATTCACATTTCGGTCTCGAGGGACCCCGTCGCCCGGTTACAGTAGAGTACTCAAGGGGGATCGGGGAATTATGTGTTCAGCGCTTAGTCCGTCTAATTGGCCGTTACTCTTCTCTGTTTGCTCGGTTCCCAGACGGCAGCGGGAAATTATCCACGTCACTCGGAGTTAATTACGCACCGCCCAGGTGGCCCCACCATGATATACGGCCTTAAGTCCCATAAAGAGCCCCAAAACCGCTGCCAAGCAGCAGAACTCTGCTCTGCACTGGGGCCTCCCTTCCGTAATAGCATACGTATGTACATACATAGCTATACATGTGTGAAAAGTGCAAATTCAAGCGATGGCCAAGGCCTGGCCAAAACAGTCAGTGGGTCCAAGCCGAACGGGTGCTATCAGTTGGAGTTGACAGAAGTCATAAGGGCTGTCGTAACAACAGCGGCGATCACAAGTGTAGGTGCGAGTGGGGCGGATAAATCAAGTCATCCCCTGCCTGATATGATCGAGAAAGCAGTAATAAAAGCCTAATTATACGCATTGCGGGTAAGCGAGTTCAGTGGGTCCTTCAACTGATTCATCGGAACACTCGAGTTCTCGAAATGCCTGTCTTACGTATTTACTTTAATCGCCGAGCGATCATGACAGCTGGCTGAACAAGTGCAATCAAGAATACGTATTGTCACCTGTGGAGTTGCTATCACCCGAATGGGTTGTGCTGTTAACCCAATAATCGATCTTTTTTCCACCCCTAGTTTTTATTTTGAGCCACAACCGATCTATTCTGGTGCCGCGCACTGTGCATGTAGATATGGGGAACCGAGCACTCGTATCTGATAAGCGACCTGTTTGCAAGGTGGCCTGATTAGATCCCCTTTGCGGGCGCAACCTTGACAGAGCTTTGCGGCTCCATCACGTAATCGCCCCTTCCGAGGGGGCGTGGTTTCCGCCCCGTGCGACTCTCTTCCAGCTAACATAATGTGGGGGATCAAATCGGTTTACTGGGTGGTAAAAAGCGGGATGGAGACATTGCTCGTCTGGCGGAGGCAATAAAACCATAAAGGCAGCCAAATGTTTGCCAAACGCTATTTCAATGCCTTATCTGGCGGGTTCCAAATCTCAGCCGGGGAAATGTTCGCGATCCACTCCGCCTTCCCACTAAATCGCTGCGAGCGGTGGAATCAATGAACCGCTAAGGTTGTACCTCACTTATACATTCCCGTACTTGTCACGTGATCGTTCGCGGGTCGAACTCATCGTTTAGGGCTGCGTTTAAACTCGGAATAGCACCGAGCATCGAATGCGATTAGCCGGGGAGATATAGGGGGCAGCCGGGCTCTAATAATAGTCTGCTCGAGCGATCCATTAATGAAATGCCGTCCAACCGGTAGGAGACGCGGCCGAGGCTAGATCGGCCGCTCTCGATCTCGCCGGGATTGCGCTCTCCGGGGCCCAGCCCAAAAAGCAGTTTCATTCATGCTCCAGCCAAGATCTCGTAGGTAATAACAACCCAGTGGCAGCCACATCAGCAGCAATTATCCTCAATTATTTACAATTATTTAATAAAACGCAAACGTAACTGCACCACAGATATACGTATATCTGCATCTGGAGCGGCTTGTCGTCGTGGCTTACGTAAAGGCAGGGCAAATACTCGAGTGCAGTGCAATATTTATAAGTTATCTGGCGCGCTACCGCTCCGCTCCGCTCCCTCGCCCCTCCCCCGTCCAGCGCCCCGCTGCCTTATCTGGGCGAGCAAACACACACTTGCTCCGGCGGAATGGAATTTTTGCTGCCTGAATCGAAAAAGCGAGCTGGAAAGCGGCGAGAATTCGAGACGCGGGCACAATAATTCGATACATCAAGTTAAGCGGAATACGCAAATGTAAACAAAGCCACGATGCGACTGGGGTGGACTGGGGAGCAACTCGAGGCGGGCGACACTTGATATACGTATAAAGAAAAACATTTGGGCCACTTGGCCTGGCCGCTGCTGACTCGCAGGCAAACAAAACGGGAGAAATTTGCTTTAATTTATAAATAATAATGACGACGATGATAAAATTGCCGGCGCAAATTGAGACAAGTGGCCAGTGGCTACTTTTATTCTATGCCTCCGCGCTGCTGGCTCAATTAACCAGCCGCCAGCCACCAGCCGCCAGCCAGAAACGTACGAATGGCTGGGAAAGGCCGGGCGAACGCGGCGTATGCGCAACGTCTCGAAGTCTGCTGCCTCGCTTCCAGCTGTGTGAGAAATGAGCACCGCGATTAGGTCAGCGGACCGGGAGCAAGGGATGTGTATGACATGCGTTCGGGCAGGAATTCCACTCAATTTATTCGGAGAGGCCCTGTCCCAACCGTGGATTTGTGGACCCCTTCTTACGAGCGATGCTTTTCGGCTGGGTTTACATCACTGCCGGCCATTTTAATTGGGCTCGGCTAATGGGCTGAGCTGCTCGAACTGAGCTGAAGAACCCTTTCGGCTTAGCGCGGCGCCTCTAATTAAGAAAATCGGCTTAGTGCCGGCTGCTCCGGGATTCAGCTTTAAGCTTAAAGCGCCGGGAGTGACGACTCTTAAAGTTGGCCCCAGTCCGTGCCCTTTCCAGTCCGTGCATCTTTCCTTTGTCCGGGAAGCACTCGAGCAGCCACTTGGCCGCCAGTCAATGCGGTCACTCCCCCCGCCCTCCGATTCCCCGTCCGATTCCCCGAGAAGACAATTCAAATGGCATTTGGTCGATGCAGTGGACGTCGGTTCAATGTCAATTTGCCAACAAAAGCAACAATTATTCAAAGCCAGCGAGGGGGTGCCACCATGGTGTCACAGAGCTTGCGCTTGGGAGAACGGGACAAGCTAATGACTTGGGAACCTTCCTGCAGCGTGATGTGGCGGAAAATCTGTGCTAACTGTCTCTCTAACCTCTAACCAACCTCCACGTTTCTCCCCGGAAATGCCGCGTCTTCAAGTCGGAGGAGCACCACTCGGCTGCGAGTCGCATCGCCTTCATTGAAATCGTGCCATTCTACACCGGATGCTGGCGCAGAAAAGAGGTACCAATCTAATCAGTGGGCCATGTGCCATAGGCCCAGCTCGTTGTAGTGTCATGATCACCACCAGCCCTACACCAACGCCCATCCCACACAGAGATTTATTTCCCCTGGCCAATTTACCATTGGCCGCCGATTTCTTTGCCACTTTTCAGTTTGCGTGGGTTTTCGCTTTCAGAAAACGGGTTTTCTGTTCGATTTGCGCTTCTTTCGGTCGCTGATTTGGCCACTTTTTGTTGCCTCTATTGGATCCATTATCCGCTGGCTTTTGTTTGATATTTTCGAACAACACACTCGAACGATGACGTTACCAGTCTTACTCATCTCCATCATAGTCCGTCTGCCTTCGTCAGCGGGTCTGCTTGGCAAACCGGGAAGTAGAGCCACTTAGCATTGACCCCGCATCGGTCGAGTGACCTCCAAGTGGGCACCCCACTCCCCGACCCGCTGCCAATTTCATAATCCACAAATTTTCATTGCTGAACGCAACCGAAGCCGTTAAAGCCACTCGGCCACATCGAGAATGCCACTGCCACCAGCCTCAGTCGCGGCCACAGCTCATTCCGTTTGCATTCGCTGCCTTTCCAGAGCTTGTTTATAATATCGTAAACTCATGCTCGGCCCCTTGGAGAGGTGTTGCTCCAGTTGCACAAAAAAAGATTGCAAACACCTAGTCAGACGCCACAGATTATCCATCGAGAGGCCGAGGCTAGTTTCCACCATTTTCCGTTCTTGGTTTTCGCTTTGTTTCGTGGAAAGTTTTTCAGTTGTACAGATTCGCCCAGACACACCTCCACATCATCCCATTGAAGCAATTTCGATCTCATTGGTGATTAACACCGAAATTTTCCAGACGATTGAGCCCAAACACACTTCCTCCGTAGTTTACCCAGCGCCTTAGCTCGCATTAAACACGCACTCCTAATTGGAAGCTTAAACATTCCCATTGTGGCGGAGCCAATTCGCGGAAGCCTTTGACTATCTACACATCGCTATTATCCGCCAGCTGATGATTTACTTCTGCCGAACCGCATTTACTATTCGTTCGAGGCTGACAGGCCTTTCTTTTTCGCCTTGTTTTCTAAATATTTCTTCATTTACCGCAAATTGATGTCGGCGCGCAGCACTAAACAATTTTTAATTGGCATCGAAATTGAAACCCAATCGCCAGAGAGTGGCCCGGCCACTCCACTGCACCCCACTGCACTCCAGTGCACGCCAGTGAGATCTGGAACGGGTTTCTTGGCCAGCGAGCAATTTGTACTCCCAGGCGACTAACACAGATCTCCTCTTCATCTTCCCCTCCGCAGGCGAACAAGCATGGCCATCCGGCGGGCCCGGGATCCGCGGCGGGCGGCGGAGCAGGACCGGGCGGGGGGAGCGAGTGCCCCCCATCGGCGGCTACCAGTGGCCGCCGGACCAGACGCCGGGCGTGATGGGCCTGAAGAACCACGGCAACACGTGCTTCATGAACGCGGTGCTGCAGTGCCTCAGCCACACGGACATCCTGGCCGAGTACTTTGTGCTGGACCAGTACAAGGTGAATATTGCCAACTCATCTAGTAACTCCCTAGCTCTCGCTAATCCCCAATCTCTAATCCCACGCAGGCTGACCTCAAGCGACGCAACAAGATCAACTCGCGCAAGTTCGGCACCAAGGGAGAGCTCACCGAGCAGCTGGCCAACGTGCTGAAGGCGTTGTGGACCTGCCGGAACGAGAGCGACCACAGCACCAGCTTCAAGGCCGTGGTGGATCGGTACGGGACGCAGTTCCGCAGCTCCACGCAGCACGACGCGCAGGAGTTCCTCTTCTGGCTGCTGGACAAGGTGCACGAGGACCTCAACATGGCCAGCAAGCGGCGCTACAAGAGCCTTAAGGTAGGGTCCCCACCTCCAGTTGGCTTGATGGCCATCCACTAACTAACTCCATCCACACAGAACTCCTATGGCCGTTCGGACGAGGTGATCGCCGCCGAAACGCTGGCCAACCACATCCGGTGCAACAACAGCTTCGTCCAGGCCGTGTTCCAGGCCCAGTTCCGCTCCTCGCTCACCTGCCCGCGCTGCGAGAAGCAGTCCAACACCTTCGACCCCTTCCACTGCATCTCCGTTCAGCTGCCGCAGCTCACCCAGCAGACGATCTTCGTCACGGTGGTCTACATGAAGCAGCTGCCGCGCCAGGTGCGGATGGGCCTGCGTGTGCCGGCCGGATCGCCCATAGTGGCCCTTCGCGAGCAGCTGCAGACGGACACGGGCATCCAGGGGTCGCGCATGGTGCTGGTGGACCTGAACGCCGAGGGTTTCTCCCGCGTCTTCTACGACACCCAGCCCGTGGAGACGCTGGCCAGCATCGAGACCATCTTCTGCATCGAGGTGCCGGAGGCGACGCCCCCTCCCAAGGCCACCACCCCGCCAGAGGGGGAGGGACATGGCCGCTCCCGCTGCAGTTGCTCCTGCCACTGCCACTGCTCCTGCAGCCACGCAATCGCAGGCGGACCTGCTGCTGCTGGTGGCCAACGTGTACCGAGCGAAGGATGGCAAGGACATAACCCGATTCGGAGCCCCCTTCAGCATGAAGGCGCCGCGCGACTGCTCCTACCAGGACCTGCAGAAGCGGATGCTGCGCGAGATGGCGCCGCTGCTCAAGCCCGAGGTCTTCTCCTACGCCACGCCCCCGGCCGAGATGTTCCGCATACGGCTGCAGGACCCCTCCGCCGACCCGGACACCTACCTGGAACAGGTGGAGCACCCGCTGCTCACCGAGATGATCGACATGGCGCTCTCCGTGCTCTCCTCCGAGGCGGGGCCGCAGCACATCAAGCTCCTGCTGGAGTGGAGCGCCCCCGAGGAGCACTTCGTTGGCAAGCAGCAGGAGGCGGAGGAGGCCGTTGTCGAGCACGAGAGCGTGGCGCGGCTGAGCGCCAGCAAGCCGAGCGACACCGCCTCGCTGACCCTCGAGCAGTGCCTGGAGCACTACACCAAGGCGGAGACCCTGAGTGCCGAGGACGCCTGGCGCTGCCCGCACTGCCAGCAGTACCTGCCCGTGGTGAAGACGCTCGGCCTGTGGTCGCTGCCGGACATCCTCGTGGTGCACTTCAAGCGCTTCCGCCAGCACCAGTCGAAGGGGCCGCAGGCGGCCAAGCTGACCACCATGGTCAAGTTCCCGCTCACCGCCTTCGACATGTCGCCCCACTTGGCCCGCGGTGTCCACGAGAGCGCGAGCAGCTCGCTGGGCATGGGCGCTGCGGCTGGGATGGGACTCGGACTCGGGCTCGGGCTCAGCGCGAACCCCTGGAAGCGGGCCCGCTCCGGCGACTCGCGCTCCTCCACGCTCAACTCGCGCTGCGAGCCGAAGGACACGCGCTACGACCTGTACGCAGTGTGCTACCATCAGGGCGACACCCTGGAGACGGGCCACTACACGGCCGCCTGCAAGAACCCCTACGACCGCCAGTGGTACAAGTTCGACGACCAGCGCGTGAGCAAGGTGCCCGAGGACGACATCGAGCAGGACATCATCAACAACGAGGCCTACATGCTCTTTTACCAGCGACGTAGTGTTGATGCCGGCGAGTGCTCCGGATCCAGCTCCAACTCGGGTGACCACTGGGTATCGCGCATCGCCCCGGCACCATCGTCCTCCGCCTCCTCAACCTCCGGAAAGGAGAAGGAGCCGGCCAAGTTGGATACCAGCGAGACCACAGAGTCTCCGGCGACAGCGGTGGCAGAGAAGGCTCAATCCAAGCCAGTCGACATACCCAAAATCTGTCAGGAGGAGGACCAAGGTAAGGCCAACCGAACTTAGCGATCTGCCGAGCAGGTAAATCTCAGCCGTTCGTCTCTTTCAGCTGCCGAGGAACCCAAAACCGGGGATCTGGAGAAACCGCCTGTTACCCACGAGCTCAACATTGAGGAGCTGGCCTATGCCGATGCCGACGTGGACACCAGTTTAAGTGAGACCAGCAAGACGGAGAAACCGCCAGCGACTAAAGATGGACCGGAGAAGACCGCTGCAGAGGAAGCTACGCCCATATTTGCCATGGATGAAGACTGCACTGAGCTGGGGCCTGAGAAGGAGGTAGAGCCCGTTAAGGACGAAACCGACCTCCCGGAAGCCACACCAGAAGGACAGCCATCCACAGAGGTCAAGACCAATGGCCATGCGAGCCCCTCGTCGAGCTCCTCCTCCTCGGAAAGCTCGCTCTCGTCGCGCTCCTCGCCAAGATCACTGAGTACTTCAGTGACGTCCACTTTGCAGAGCAAAATCAACGGCCACGTGGCCGCCGCTCCGGCTGTGCTCAATGGAAATGGAAACGGAAACGGAAACACGCCCCAGCTCTCGTCCAGCCTGCAGCTCTCGCGGCAGGTGCTGCACAACCACAACTGGCACGGATCCAGGAGCAGCGTGTCGGCGGTGGAGAACGCCACGCACCACCAACAACAGCAGACGGCGGCCAGCCTGAACCTGCGGCACTCCTTCTCCACCAGCTCCAACTACACGGAGACCCTGTCGTCGCTGCTGCGCAAGTCGGCGAACACCTGCAGCAAGGACACGCTGCTGTTCATTGACCAGCAGAGTCACCACCACACGGCGGGTCTGATCGAGGACGACGACGAATCATACATGGGCCGGTCCCTTTGGGTGAGTGAAATCAGCAGCCGAACCTCCGGAATAGCTTGAACTAAGTGCCTTAATTCGAATGTTGCAGATATCCCCCGTGACGCCACACAAACTTATCACTGTTTCGCCCAAGAATTAGACGCGACGCAATATTCAGGTGCGAAGGCCGCATGGGCACAGAGAAGGAGAACCGAAAATGAAAGCGAAACCGAAACCGAAACAAGAACATACACAAACGCACTATAGCCATAAGCCTAAAGTTTACTTTATATGATATTTCTAAGCCGGAGCTACCGAGCGAAAAGCATTATGAAGATGTTATACAACTCTGTTTACTTTAAGATAATGTACTCATATATACGATAGTTGCAATATTACTTTATGAATAATGTATTCTACATGTAGAAGAAAAGCATTACACCAAACAATATATTAATAACGGATGTTTGAGAACTCTGCCACACTGTTTTCTGGAGAGAAGGAACTTTATTACGGTGTAAAACGTTCAATGTATTCGGAAATAAACGTGAAGTTGTTGGATATAAAATACGATTTTGAAGCGACAAAATAAAATCTAAAGAGCACTTTTGGTAAGGGGTTAATTTGTTAATTGAAAAGTCTAATAACACTATATTATTAGTGGTTTTTCGGTTTTAATAACGACTTATTTAAAATAGTTTTGAAACTATAGTCATCAGTCGATGGGAAGAGTTTGGTTGCTCGCTTGGGACACGTCTTTCCAAGAGTTTTCAGCCCGAAAGTATGCCTCTGGGTGGAAAGCCATCTGCAAGCTTGGCTCTCTTGGAGCACGCCAAACTCAAGGTAAAGCTTTCTTTCTTTCCACTTTCTCATGCTCTTGCTAGTTGACCGGGCAGGAGGTTCAACGTTTGCAGCGCCTCGGCCAAAGAATCAGTTCAGTCGCTGCACTTGACGCGCCAGGTTCTGTTTTCCCCACTGCGGATCGAAAGTCGCCAAAGAAGAAACCCAAGCCGAAGAGCCGAGACCAAGAACCGTCCACAAAACAAGCGATCGAGCGAGATGGATTATCGCTTAGTGCTGGTATGTCATCATTACTGCCTACTGCTTACTGCTCATTGCTGTCTACTGATTGACGACATCTGCGGCAAGTTCGTTGCCCAAGTCTTTTGTTTTGCAATGCGCTGACATTGGCGAGCCAAGCGCTCCCCCCGTTTACTGTTACCCAGTCGCTGGGAACCGCCCGATTCTGGAGCATGCTAATGAATTAAGCTAACTGTGGAGCAGCGCCCCGTTCCGTTCCGTTCCGCTCCGTTCTGGCCGCCTTCGGGTTCGCTCCTCTAACTTCTGGCTTTTTGGCCGGGTGCCGAGCAACTTTCCCGTTAGTCGTGTGGCACGCATATTGGGAACACACCGCCAACGGGTTCTGTTCTGGGCAGAACGACTGGCTGTTCAGCCTCCAATCCGCAATTGGGCTACCGATATTTACCTATGCAAATCGGACTGGCTCATGGCTCATGGCTCATGGCTCCGTTTCGGGCACTCTCTCGCAGGGCAAACGAGTTTCGGGCCCATTAGAAGGGAAAAAACAAAAGAACGAGCTCGGAAACTGACCCAATTTCAGGTTGCCCCGACCCGCATTCAAATCGCGCTGTGAACCGTGTCGCGAGCGGAGAAATTCCACAGCCTCTTGGCCCTGCATCCGCCCACCGAGCGCGCGGCCACCTGACCTGAATAGCTCTGGCAGAGTCCGAGGAACTTTTGGTTTCGTTGGGTCGCCGCTGCCCAGAATTTCAGGGAAAGTTCCCCCGAACAATTATGGTCAAGTGATCGGAGCAGAGAGATGCAAAAGTCGCGCCTCGGCTTCGGTTTGTTTATCTTCACCGAGACAGACAGAAACTTTCGCGCTTTCGCCAAACACAAAACCTCGAAAAGTGTCTTTCTGGCCGGGCCAAAAGATCTCGCTTTTTTCCCCGGACAATGCCGGCCATTCACGCTCGCCGAGTCTCGGAGCAATTAATTTGACTCCAGGCAAGCGCAACGCTTTGTTCCACCACCTCCACCTTCACCTTCACCTCCACATCCACCGTGACCGTCATTTGTCTTTTGTCTTGGCCCTTTGCAGAAAATTCTCAGCTTTCTGCTGCTGGCCCATTTGGGCTTCGGCCAGCCGCAGCAACAGTCGTCGGCGGACTACGGCGAGGAGCAGCCGCCGGAAGGCTACTACGCCTTCGTGGAGTCCCCGAACGCGGTGCCCCCGAAGGTCAGGCCGCCGCCCTACACCTTCGTGAACGCGGAGTGCAAGGACGTGGCCGCCGGTAAGAAGTCCGCCGTCTCCGTGCACAACATCTGCGGCGACCTGAACAAGGGCCAGATACCCAAGAATCCGCTGGGACAGAACGTGCTCGGGGAGCCCTATCCCTTGTAAGTGAAGTGCAGGCCTTGGGGCATCCTAAACATATCTATAAAAACTTGTCGCCCGCAGTGAACTCATCCGGAACCAGACGCTCAAGTTCCTCTCGAAGACCCTGCCCGTGCTCAAGGCCGACGACACCCTGCCCAAGGTCACCCAGATCATCCGCGACGACCCCGTGGAGCAGCTGGACAGCAACAACATCGACCGGCCCTACCCGGCGGGAGGAGCCACCCGCGTGCGCCGCAGCCTGCCGGAGGGTGTGGAGTCCACCGACGGCCAGTACAGCTACTTCGACCCCGCCCTGGACGAGGAGGAGCGGCACAGCCAGCAGCAGAGGGAGCCCACTCTACAGCAGCGAAGGGCCGCCGAGGAGAGGAAGCCGCGCAAATTCTGCGACGGCGGTGGAGTGTAAGTTCATTGCTTTAACCAGAGGGAAGAGTAGTAATTTAAGAGCGGGGGTTAAGGAGGTCAACTTCTCTAAGCGTGCATCATCGCAAACAAAATATTTAACAGCCCGAAAAAGAAAACTAGGTTGCCATTTCACTTTCCTTATGGTAAGCCATATAAATATTAATATGGCAAAACTCCATTAATTAAAACCGGAATTCCAATTCTAAGATGAGGGGATTAACAATGGTTGAATAGTTATTCGCCTTCTTCCAGCTCCATCAGCTTCAACTCCTTATTCAATTAAAAATTAGAAAGCTCCACCCTTCTGAAATTAACCCCCAATTTAAATCCGAAATTATCCCACAGATTCTGCACCTTGTACAGGGCCATCCAGGGCGACACCGGGGGATCCGGCGCTGCGACGCCCACTGCGGAGCGTCGCGAGGAGGTGGGCCCCATCCGGTACGAGGGTCCGCCCACCCCGTGCCCCGCCAAGGTGGAGTACGCCACCCCCGTCTTCGCCAAGAACTACCAGGGTGCCTGGCGCTACGTGGTGCAGATTCCCTACGAGGGCTACTTCACCCAGACGGTGGAGGTGACGCGCTGCATCCAGGCACGCTGCCACTACTTGGACGGCGGCTGCCTGTCGTCCCCGCGCTGGGTGAGCCTGCTGGTGGCCGAGATCTTCTACCCGAATGCGGAGGACACGGTGCCCACCAGCTCGACCACCACGCAGGCGCCCTCGGTGCAGGACTTCCAGGCCTACCAGCAGTACCTACAGAAGCGGGCTGGCGTCGCCACCGCCTCCGACGGCACCTCCTCCGGATCATCCGCCGCCTCGGCCTCTGCGGACGCCCACTGTGATGGACACGACGAGCTGGGCTGCTTCCAGGTGCGTCTCTACTACGACTGGTTCCTCATCCCGGGCTCCTGCAAGTGCTGGCGTCCGGACTACTTCGCCAAGTACGTGCGCCGGAAGTCGGTGGCCGACTTGTGAGCACTTGGTGCTCCTTGGAACGGACTCCGAGCGAGACCCCTAGCATACGATCAAATCCTAGCACTTAGTGGAACCCAACTTTGAGACGAAAGGCTCATTCTAGTAATCCATACAAGGGGCGCCGCAGCCCATTGGATCACGCAGAGTTTGCAGTTCGCGCAGCAGATACCAGATACACCTACCAGATACATAATTAACCTAGGCGATTAGCTCCTCTTCCGACTGATTAAGCCAAGCGCAATGCATTTCTACTAATAAATACGTTTCTACACAAATCTCGTGAGAGGGACTCTGTCGATGGGTTGGCTGGTTGGCTGTGGCCTAGGCTGTGTGTTGTGTGTGTTGGCCTCCTGGCGCTCTCCGACTTGCGTCTGTGTGGGTAGCCGCTGAAAGATCCACCGAAAAAGCACAGAAACCAGTCGCGCAAGTTGCGCATGCGTGCGAGACTCGGGCCGAAAACCTCAAGTCGCGCCTCTAGTGTGCAGTCAATATAACCAGTTGGTTGGGTTTGGGTGTTTCGGCCTGGCAAACGCGCCAAGCTGCATTGTGTACACAGAGAATAGGTGCAGATCTTGCGCAGAAGCCTTGACGAACGGCCTCAAAAGGCTGCCAGAAGAGCCGCACGGAAGAACTGGATTGTGCTTTCATCTCAGGAGTCAGCAATTACGTATAGCCTAGGTAAGTCAAGAAATCGGAGGGCAAACTCTTTGTTTATAAACAAATGATGTGACAAAGCCAAGCTGTAGCAAAAGTTTATACATAATTGCCCAATAACTTTGATAGTTTACCTTTTCAAAAAAATGGTGCAAAACCTAAAATAAAATTGGTGGCTTAATTTAACCAGGCAGTTTAAATATTTCTTAAAAACCAAAATGTCCAAAAGGATGTGATAACAAAAACAACAAACGACCCCACTCGAGTCGTGGGTCTTCGTTATGTATTTTCTATTTCAAAAATGTCGGAAATTTTGAGCGTGCCAAATTCACACATTCCGTTTTGAGTCACCCATGCAAATGAGTTCGCATGAATATTCAGTTATGCATTGGGACCAAGCGTGGGACGATCTGTAATCCCAGCCACTTTCCATCTTGCAGCATCGGCAGAAGAAGATGCTCCGCCAGAACACCAGCATCAGTTTGCTGAACCTCAGCACCGGCGATGGAGCAGGCAATCTCGGCCAGACGCAGTCCCAGTCCCTGGACATGGACGCCCTGCCCAAGCAGTTTGTCTTGTCAATGAAGAAGCTCTTCGATATTCTGGACGACAAGCAAAGCGGCTACGTTCGCTTCATGGACATCGAGAAGGGCTGGCAGGACGACGGATCCAAGGGCCTGCCACGTGGGGTGCTGGACTCGCTGCGTCGCGTGACTCCCAGCAGCGGACTGCTCTCCTTCGAACGCTTCTGCGCCGGTCTGAAGTTATGCCTGCTACGCAACCAGCAGCAGGCAGTCGGAGACTTAAAGACGCGGCCTCGTTCCCAGGTGAACATCGCTCCGGAGTTCAGTTCGCCGGCGCCCCCGCCCAAGCCGCCACGACAGGTGACCACGACCTCGCCTCCCCTGGGAAAGGCGGACATACGAAATGCTTTGCAAAACTGGCAACTGAACCTAATGGCGGACTCCGGAAAGCCCAAGCTTCCGCAGACAAGAGAGCAGTTGGAGCACCGTGGCTCAGCGGACGGCGGTTCCTCATCCACCTCCGCCTCGGCCACCGACTGGAGCATGGCAGTCCTTCCCGCTTTGCCCAAGAAGTCCAGCAAGCGCAGGGAGTCCCGCAGGCACACCCTCCAACACGGCATTGACTACAATATGTTGAAGCGATTGAAGCAGCTGGAGGAGCAACGGGAGCTGCTTCTTTTCGGATTGGACGGCGTAGAGAAGGCGCGCGACTGGTATATGCAGCAAGTGCTTAACGTCCAGGAGCAAATCAAGTATTTTGGCCGCTTGGGAACCAGATCCGTAAGCATTCCACAGTGCAACTTTGAAATATTTGTTCTAATTCTGACTTCTTTACAGGAACAGTGGTCTGAACTTCAGCAGGAGCGTCTAAACTTCCAACGGGCCCGGGTCCTAGAGGCAAATAGAAGTCTTCAGACCTTGGCAGACACCTGGGAGCATGGCGGCTACCCACTACACATCAACCTAGCTCTGCCAACGCCGGCTGTTCCAAAACCAAGGCAAATGTCCGATCTTTTAAGCCGAGTACGAGACAAGCCGCTTCTATCGGACCTTTACGAGCCACAGCACTCCCATTCGCAATTCCTGCGTGCCATCTCTAACTTTGGACTTAGCCAGCCCTCGCCCGTGAGCCAATCCTCCGCTGGATTGGGAGACGCCGATGTGGTCTACTGAGAATTGAACCGTTGTTGCATTTTACTTTGTAAATAGTATATTATTAAAAGACTCAAAGGACTCTAAGCTAGAGAGGATTGGGGTAGCGGCGCATGTACTTATTGAGCTGCTTGTAGTTGAGGTTGGTGCCCGGCTGTACAATACCCTGGTTGACGGTCTTCTTGGCCTCGAACTTGCGGTCCATGTAGCACTTGTAGCAGTTCTGGAACTGGCTAATCTCCTTGTGGCAGTACTTCTCCACGAACTCGTTGTCCTTTAGGCAGGCGAAGAGCACCCCCCATTTCCTGCAGGCAGGCCACATCCGCTCCGGAGTCCGCCTTCCCGCTCACGGTGTTCTTTAGACGCAGCGGTAAAATCTCCTGGAAGGGCACGTCCTTCTCGCTCTGCGGCGCTCGGCCGCGGGCGGCAAAAAGGGCTCCGGGTACTCGCATCTAGAATACTTTGGGTAAGCAGCTGCCAGGTTTTCAGTCAAAATTATATATTTTTACTTACCTCGTAATTTCTAACTTGTCTGCCCAAACAGCTGTTCCAGGGTTACGTCACGAACGCTGCCCAACACTGAACGGCGTCCCTCTCGGCGAATGGCACTATTGCGCGCTGTCTGCCATTTACCAACCCTAGTCGCCGAACAACAAACCGAAATTGAGGAAAATATACACAAAAGGTAAATAAGCAACCTGCGGGCACGCCAGGATCACTGAACACCCCATGGAAGCAGTCGATGAGAGTGACCAGGCGGTGGAGGCGGGCCCTCTCCGCGGTTATCCCAGAGCAACCGACGCCGTCGAGCAGGAGGACCCGGATCTGGAGCAGGACCGCAACCGGGACCTACCCCTGGGACTGTGGGAGGGCGTCGCTGCCGTAAGCAGTCGCAAGCGACAGCTGAGCCGCTTCCACCCGTACCACGGCTCCAACATCCAGCTGGGTGACGACGCCACCGTCGCCTACCGCAGAGCCAGCTTCGCCGACGCCCTCACCTTCTCGGAGCGCCCGTTGGCGCCGGGCGATATTTTCTTGGTGGAGATCGAAAAGATAGAACGCGGCTGGTCGGGCCACATGCGCCTGGGCCTGACAGAACTGGCGCCCAATGTGATTCGCACTAGCAGCGAGGGACTTCCCCACTTCGCGCTGCCCGACCTCGCCAACCTGGGTAACAGTTGGATCTACCCCATCTCAAAGTTCGAGATGAACCAGCGCCAAGAGGCCAACGATATCATTGAGCCGGAGACGGATGAAGAGCCACACAGTACGTACGGTTGAGCTTTCGAACACGTTTGTATTGTATAGTCTATCTTTGCCAGGAAACCTTCTGGGCGATGCCACGCATGTTAGGACGCCTCGCGGCCTGCTACCAAAGAGACTTCTTCGCCCGGCGATGGGCAATGGCAACGACTCGGACATATTGCTCACGGACCGGGGCTCTCGCATCGGCATCATATACGTGCCCACGGTCCATAGTGCCTCGAAGGGCGAACTGCACTTCATCATCAACGGGGTGGATCGTGGCCCCGTTTCACGTGACATTCCGCTCAACAGAGCGCCTCTTTTCGTGGTTATCGACGTGTATGGCACCACTAAGCAGATCAGGATCATCCAGCTGGAGGGCAGTAAGTGGCATTATTCGAAATAGTCTCTAGCACCTCATCTAACCCTCTGTCTGTGCAGTTCTTTCCCTGCAAAGCGCCTGCCGCAACGTCATCCTGGAGAACTTTTCGGAGGACGTGATTACCGAGCTGCCGTTACCGGAGAGCATCAAAAGATTCCTGCTGCGCCGCGATTAGAGCCTATTAGCTCTATGCAATAGGGCCCAGTGTGTGTGAATGAGAGCTGCGTGTGTGAGGAAGTGTGCATGAGCCTGGGTCGTGATAGTCTGTTTACCTATATATTTTTACGCGCCTGCAGCGCTGGTGAAGTGCCCGTTCATTGACCTTTATATTTGTACGTTCTGTAGATATATTTTGTACTTTGGTTTGAGTTACCAGTTCAATACACACCCTGCCGGAACGCTTCTATGTTGAGAAACATAATCCTCGCTAGCGTTTGTGTTTGTATCACCCAGTGTTAGAGGAAGGTCACCAAGGGATGCGTCCCTCCTGACAGCCCTGCCTTTTAGCGTTTCGGTCCCCGAGGCGATTTCCGTTTCCATTACCGTCTAAGTAATATTGTTGCTAAATGTAAGTTAAGTCCACGTAATAAAGGATCGATTAAAGTCGCTATAACTGCTGAATTCGTCCTGTGAACTAAGTTATTTATTCAAGACATATGTGTATAGAGTGTGTGTATACAAAACAAAAATGAAAGACCAGCCGCCTACTTGCCGCGGTTCTCCGCCAGCTTGGCCTTGAATATGGCCTTCAGCTCATCGGCGCCCTCACCGTTCACCGCCTGGTAGTCGGGCAGCTCCTCGAGGCGCTTCAGCCAAGCGTTCAACTTCGGGAACTTAAACTCGTCGATTGGGGCAACATCGTTGACCGAGGTCACGGTGGCCACCGCGCAGAAGTCGGCGATGGTCAGGTCGCTGCCACATAAATAGGGCTGCTCCTTGAGGAATCCCTCCAAGATCTCCCAGCACTTCTGAATGTAGGCGATCTTGTCGATGGAGCAATCCGTGGACCCGTAGTACAGAATCGGCTCGTAGAGGAAGCGCAGGCGGGCAAACAGGTGGCCAGAGTCCAGATGGAGCCGGGCATCTACGTTGGCGCGCTGCACCAGATCCTTGGGGTAAAGCTGCTGCTGATCCTGGCCGTACTTTTCCACCAGGTAGGCGCAGATGGCATGCGAGTCGATGATCGTGGCCTCGCCGTCGATCAGCGTTGGGATTGTGTGCTGGGGGTTCAGCTTGAGGAATTCTGGCGTCAGATGCTCACCCTTCAGCAGGTTAATTGGCCTGGTTTCGGACGGAGACACTTGTTAATTGAGTAAAGTGGCACGGTGTGCGGATGGTGGGAACCTACCGCAGTTCAAGGTCGAGTCCGATCGCCTTGGCCGTGAGAAGAACCGCACGGGATGGGGGGCTCAGGGTGGCGTAATACAGAGCTGGTTTCGGCATGGTGGAATCTCTAAATCTAGGGGATAAGATAATCAAAGTTTTTATACCAACTAATTCATAATCTTTTATTAGTTAATAGTTTTTAGGTTTCTTACAAAAGGGTTCGTACAAGAAATATGTAATCATTAGCTTTTAATTTTCAAATCCTAATCTTTCTATTGCAATACAAATATACATATCTCGAAAATTAGAAGGTAGATACATAAACCCCACATTTTTGTAAGTCTTTACTTTTTTTTAAAGAATTCATAAAGGAGGAAGCTGTATCGGGGTCCTCAGCTAGACTAAACTTGGCACTCTATTTAATGAACCCAAAAGCAACCCTCGCTCTGGCAGTGCCCCAACAAGCGATCTGATATAAGCTCAGGGCACTGCTAACCGCACTCACACCACTCCAATGCCATTACCCATACCCGCAAACAGCCGCAAGCACTACTGAATCCGTGTCGCACCCACAGCAATATCAGATAACCCCGCATCTACAGCGCGATAACTTGCGACTTATCAGAGCACTCAACATGGCAACAACACAACGAAGGATTTTACTAGGGGCTAACGTCGCCCCTCCTATTCCGCCTTCCCAACTGTTGGCGACTTGAAAATTAAGTTTAAAAAATAAATGTAATTAGCGGCACATACACATACAGATCGCGCCCCCTACAGTGTGCGTGTATGTGTTTACAATCGCCGGCAAATTGTTTTTATAGTGCCAATGCAGCAATTTGTGAGCGCTTGTGTTGGTTTGTTTTTATAGGGGGGCTGATTTTGCGCAGCGCGTTGAGATTAGTTTACACACACATGCTCCACTCGCAACTCACACTGTTCCGTGACCACTGGCAACAAACAACAAACTATATTGGCTTTATATAGAACTGGCGAGCGAACGTCTCCTCCGAAGTCCAAACGCGATCTGAATCGCGAACGAGAAACTATATAGAGGCTCCACTGGCTCTGCCAGTAGCTCTGCTGAGAACCAATTTGCAAAGGTGTGGGTGAGAGTGGGGCCGCTCTATGGCCGCTCTCTGCTTCTCTCTTCGTTTCCCATAACCATGATGTTATTTCATACGTTTATTCATAGGGATTTGGTACAGGTTAAATCGTAATTTGTTTATGCTCTACGAGTATGTGGTTACGCGAAATTATATATAACTGTATATAGCTTGTAATACCAGCTGCGGCTCCGTTGGAATTCTCTATTCGCCGGGATCCTTGAGCACTAGGAGTACGGAGTAAATACCGTGGGGTGTCGTATAGTCCAGCCCCACGGCGTCTTGATCGAAACGGAAACAAAGCACTAACACTAAAGATCGGATCGAGTGCGAATAGAGGGAACATTGCATGTGTCATTAGAGTTTTCGTGGTTTAATCACAATTATCTGCTTGCACCTTTCGAAAAGGTAATCTTAGCTAGTTGTCCAGCACGCTGCGCTTCAGCGCCTCCTCCAGATCCGCGTCGAAGCTCTCCGGCTTCGAGTAGTCCGCCGCGAACTTGTCCTTGGCAGGGTCCTTGCCTAAATCCTTCTTGGCCAGCTGCCCGTTCTGCTTCTCCTTGCTTGCCTCGAACGAGGAGTTCCCGAAGTCGCTGGAGAAGTTGTGGGCCTCGAAAGCCTCGAACTTGGCGAAGTTCGGGGTCATCTTGAAGTGATCTTCGAAGTTGTCGTTGAAGGCGTCGAACACCTTGGACGTTTGATCGGTGGGCTTGACAACCTCAGTGGAAAGCGATGAGTGTTGGCCGGCACCGAAGTTGTCATTAAATGCATCGAAGAAGGAATCGTTGAGTTTCGTGTTGTTAGTGGTTGTGGTCGCTGCTCCAGGTCCATGTCTTCCCGTGGTGGCTAGGCTAGTTGCGAAGTCGTCGAAATCAGCGAATGCATCCTGCGCCTTTTGGTGGTTCGGCTTGGTGTTCGAGTGGTGTGAGGAATTTGAGAGGTGCGATAGCGCCGGACTCGGGTTTAAGTTGAAGGCGTCAAACTGCTGCAGCAGGTCGTGGTTTAGGGGCGTAGTCGCCTTGGGCTTACTGCTGTTGTTATTCGCGATGTTGCCTGCAGTTTTTATCTCGTCTGTGGGATAAGGTACTGAGTTAGAAGGGTTGATCCATGTTTTGCATGGTCTTACATACCATCCGAACTAAAGTCCTCAGCAAAGCTCTTCTTCTGATCCGCTCTCTTAGCTCCAGCTAGCTCCTCGTCCTCGTCGTCGGCAAAAGGGTCCTTGATGCTGAAGGGGTCTTCGTAGCGGTAGTCCTTGAAGGGATCGTCCTTAAAGTCGGTTGGTCCAGTGATAACGTTTGCAGTCGGCGTCTTCTGGCTGACGTTCGCTCCAAAGGCATCGAAAACGCCAGACTTTGGCACCAATCCCGACGCGCCCGGATTCTGCAGCGGTGTATTGGAACGCGACAAATGCTGGTTATTTGAGCTGGGGGCGGTGGTGATGGTGGTGCTACTGGGGAGAACTCCTCCCGCTCCCGCTACTAATCCCGCTGGTGACGCAGAGAGAGACGCTAATACCGGGGATGGGGCTGCTGGTGTGGATGACGATGTCGGGAGCAAGGGCTGCAGTGTGGGGGCGGTGGATGTCGTGGAGGTTGAAAGCGTGGGATTGGGTGTGCTGGCCGCCTTGTTTCGAATCTGGCCGGGATCATCAAACAGCGAGAAGCTGTCGAGCAGCGATGACCCACTGGAGACCGACGCTGGAATCGGGGGCGGCAGGGAAAGCGGGGGCAGGGACAGGGGCGTGGTCGTGGGCGTAGGTGTGCTTGGAATGTTGTGGAGCTGTGTGGGTGCGTCGTGTCGTGGGGAAATAGAAGTGAAACGAAACAAAATTAAATTAAAACGGAATCAAATTAAGCGGAATAAAGTGGGTAACGCAAGGGGTAGAAACCGAAATCAAACAAGGTCAACTAAAGCGTTTAAGCAGCCACGTATGACGAAGCGTTTTATGTGTAAGGGTCGTCCCCAGAACCCAGATAAGACCCGATGGGACTCGCGGTCCCGCCGTAGAAGAACTTCGATGGGCGCTCAAGTTGAATGATGTCGAACATAGATATTTTTTATTAATAATGCAAAACGTTGTGTCTGTTACATTTTTGTATCGGTTAGGCTGGGGCTTCTCTAAAGTTTTCTCTATAAGTATGTATTTATGCACGGAACATGTGTTCCCGGTAAATGAATGCACGGAAGCTTATTAGTTTCGGTGAGGGGTTCGTACGTGTGTGGCTATAATAATCAAGGTCTGACAAATATATATATATGAGTACTTTAATATAGTTGAGTGGGAAAGAGCTCCCAGCCCAATCGCGAATGGCTGGCTAGACTGTGGCGCGCTCCTAACGGGGAACACTACACCGCCCTATAAGCTGACGGGAAATGGTTCTGGTAAATAGTAGTGGGCAGTCCCGTTCTGGAGTCCGATTGCCCTCGCCCGCGGGTAAAACTCAAACTTTCGCGGCAGTTACATCGATATTTAAATGCCCGTGGAGCTCGAGTGTAAAATTATGGTAATATAGAATATAGTACGGCTGTATAATTGCTTAAAACTTTAGTATTCGCATATGCAGAAATAACAAACAACTTGTATTAAATTCCTTACAGAGTTCTCTCCCCACAAAAACTATCCGGGTTAATACACTGTCTTTCAAACGATTTGAGGTGAACCCATAATAGTAATAATAGTAGGCTAATACGATACTGCACAGCTTCGGGGATCGAACGGTTAAGACTCTAGGGTTTCCTTCCGCCTGCAGCTTGCTTTGGTTTTGTGACTACATTTATAACACGATACGTAACGCTTGAAATTGGTTTGAGTTTGGTTGAGTTTCGATTGAATTGATTTAGTACATTTAGCTAATTAGGCATGAACGATAATGCGCGTCCTCTAGATATTATACCATGCACCGTGACTGATATATGTACGTTAATATGCTGCTGCAAGTAGCTTTGTACGCTCAAATTGATTTGTTTCGTTATGCTGCTAGAGGAGGCCATTCATTAACTGAGTATGTGTGTTAGTACTGGTATATATCGTATATAGAATGGGTTATCTTAAGATGTTCACTGAAAGTAGAGAATTGCAGAGATGAGAGACCAAACGGTTAGTTTCAAACGGGCAGCACCAAGGCAGAAGCTACGGGATGTGTGGTTTCGGGTTGTGAGGTGATCTGGGTGGGGTTTATCCGGAAGTTTTAGTTTTAATGGCGAACCAAACTGCTACAAACCAAATGCGAGTGGGAAAATCAAAATACTCAAGTTCTACGTTATTAAAGTGTGCATCAAATCAAAGCGGTTTATTTCTACAAAACTTAAAAGGTGTTAGTTAAACGTAAAACCAAGTATTACTGCCGCAACGTCGGCTAGCTATATACAACATACTGAATGGTGCGGGTGCGGGGCGCATGCATTACCACCGATCCCAGCGGACACTGAATTGTGGGGTACCAACCTTATTGTCAAAGTCGTCGAAGTCGGCGAAACCTCCGCCGCCGCCGCCGCCTCCGAAACCACTTGTGGGCTGTGTGACAAAGGTTAGGTTAGGATAATTCGACGGGACGGTGTTTCCTATTCGGCTTACCTGGGCTGCCCGTGGTGGCGCTGGCCGCGGAGGCGGCACCTTGGACTTCTTTGGCGGCAATGCTGGACTAGGAGACTCCGGTCTGGGCGGTGGACCCGACTTCTGGGTATTGGGACTAAGAACTTGACCCTGGCCAGTTGGCGCGTGCAGGGCGGCAAACGGATCGCTGCCGAAGTCGTCTTTTCCGGGCTGTTTATGTTGATCATTAATCGCAAAATCCCAGCTTCTGTAGGCAATTAATCTTACCTCTGGAGTGATGACACTGCTCTTGTTGGCTGCAAAGGCGTCCGAACCAAAAGGATCCCGCTGAGTCTGGCCGAATGCCGAGCCCGCTCCGCTTTGGCCGAAGGCATCGAATCCGCTGTCGAAGCCAGAGTTAAAGCTGTCATCGAAACCGGTGGAGATTGCCGGCTTACTGGTCTGCTGGCTAGAAAAGGGGTCATTTCCAAAACCGTTGGTGGCCTGGTTGGCCGCCCCACTGTTGTTCTCCTCGAAGGGGTCGTCCTTGGGCATCTGCACTTCCTTGGTCAGTGTCTTGCGCGCCTCGTCGAAGTCCGGTTCGATTTTCAGCTGGTACTCGGAGACCAGTTCGGCGTTTTGGTTCTCCATGGCGGCCCGACAGATGAGCAAGGCGTCGGTCATCTGGCGCTGCGTCTCCAACAGCTGGGTGACCATTGACCGGACCTTTAGAACCGGAAAACATCAATCCCTGGTTACCAAAGGTATTTGCAACTCTTACCGAGCTGATCTGCAATTGGGTGGCCTGCAGGTGATTGGTCAGCTTGGAGAGTTCGCGGTTGTTGCTGTCGTACTCCTTCTGCAGCGACGTCTCCTCGTCCTTGAGCTTCTGCAGCTCAGATCGCTTGGCGTTCAGTTCGCCCTCCTGCTCGTTAATGGTCTCCTCCTGCAAGTGGCACTGGTCACGTATCTTGGTCACCTGCAAGCAAGCGGATTTCGTTGTTTACAAAACGGCCACTGGATCCAGCACTTTGCACAACACTGAGGCCAAAACATAAATCACATGAACGAGTACAGAACACAAAGCTTTTATATACAGAAATCATGAGAAACTGAAACAAACCTGGTCGTTGGTGCGCGAAATATCAAGACTTACGCTGGCCAGCACGGCCGTATTGTGGCTAACCTTATGTGATCGTAATTGTGAGTGTAAGTGCATTCACCAGTTTAGTATGGGTTTAGCCAATTGTTAACAGAGTGTCGGGGGAACATAATAAAGAAAGGAAACCAAAGTTGGAATTTAAATTTAAATTAAAACTAAAACCCTAGAGCAAGCAAAGGTATTCAGTGGCGAATGAGCCAAAAGCACCCAAAAATTCATGCATATAACTACTTGAGCCTGCAGGTCGTCTAGCCGTTTCTGGGCCTCTCCTCGCTGGTTCTCCAGTTGCTTCAGGGTGGCGGTAAGAGTATCCAGTTCGCTCTGAGGGTGCAGATTGAAATTATTTTTCTGTTATTACAACACATAGTTGACTATATCCACCTGCAGACTGCGCACTTCGCCGTTCTTGATGCGCACATCAGCCTCCTTCTGGGCAATCTCCGTCTCCAGGACGCGACGCTCGCGGGCCAACTCCTCGATCTCCTTAGATATCATCTCCAGCTCCGGGTTCGAGTAGGTGGGCTTCACCTCCTGTGGCTGTAGATCAACTCCGGACACTGTGGCACGCATCGAGGGCGGCACCATATTGGCGCTCAGCACATGCGGCGGATCCACGCCGCGCTGCTTTCTCTCCACAAACCACATGGCCAGGGCGAACTGCTCCACAGTCAGCTTACCGGACTGATTGGTGTCACAGAGGGCCCTAAAATGCGAAAAGGTGTTACGAGGAACAGCTCCAACTTCGAAGAACAAAATGCCTACCAGATGTCCGCCAGACTGCGCTGTGGTATACCCGACTTAATAAAGATGTCCTTCACCTCTAGACCAGAAACCAGGCCATCCTTGTCCAGATCCGACTGACGGAAGATCTCCTCAAATCGTCTTAGCTCCGCCGGCGTGACCACCCAGTCGGCGTTCGCTGTCACCGACGGCGGAGCCCCGATGGGTATCAGCGGATCCGTCTGGATCAGGGGCTGGGAGCTGACTGCGCCCACTGGAGGAATGCGTGTCATGGGCGGCACGGCCACCGGGAGCGGTGGGATGGCCGCCGGGGAGCGATGTCCTTGGGGAAGTTTGCGACGAAGCCACCGTCCCCGAAGCCCTCGCCACTTGGAGCACGCGGCATGGCGGCGGCTGCCGGAGGCGGGGGCATGGCGGGCTTGGGTGGCAGACCGGCTCCTCCGGGCTTCCGCAACTCGGGCGGCAGCACACTGGGAATGGTGCGTTTTTGCAACGTCTGGTAGACCAGGTGCATGGCCACCACAAACTCGTGCCTGTCTAGGTTGCCGTCCTTGTCCTGGTCGGCGAGGTCCCAGATGGTGCCCAGAATGTTCATGGGCAACTTAGAGTCCATCAATACGCCCTTGACCTTGTTGCCCGGTAGCATTCCGTTGTGGGGGCTTAGCGACTCAAAGAGCTGCTCGTACTTGAGGCGGTCGATTACACCGATGGACCAGTCCCCGTTGGCCACTCCTCCGCTGGACACCGGTACCGTCTGAATGCGCGATGGCAGCGTTTTCGGCAGTTCACCCTGGTGATTAGATGGCATTGGTGAGTCTCCCGCTTTGGGCATAAGCGACTCGCTACTCACCACCTTAGGCGGGTTGGCAGTTTCCAGGTAGATGTTGTTCATGTTGGCCACCTGGCCCGCCTGCGAAAGCGACACCAGCTTGAGGGCCACGAAGAAGCCCGGCTTGTCTAGGAAGCCCTTGCCGCTTGGGTCGGACAGGTCCCAGATCTTGCTGAGCACAACGTCGCTGAGGCCCGACTTTTTGAGAAACTTGGCCGCCGTCATGGCCTCGATTGCCCCGGTGCCTTTGGGGTCAATCTGCAAAATCGATAGGGGGTGGGCTCATGGGTTGGATGGTCGGTGGATCGGTGGGTGGATACCCGCTAGGCAAGGGGGCGTGGTGCTTACCAGTTTGTAGTAGGCCTCGTAGACATGTATGTGCTTGCTGCACACCTTCGCGAAGTCCACATTCATGGTCTGGGATCAGGCCTCCACCCAATTCTGACTAGCAATGCGAAAACTCGTAAGCGCAAGCCTGTTATCACAAAATCGATTTTTCTTCCCACTGGCGGGGCGGATGTGTGCTCTAAATCAGCAATCGGCGGATTTCGCGCTACCTCGCACCTGTGCACCTGCGACGACGCTTGCGAGAGCCACTTACAGGTGAGCTGGATGCATTTTGGCCCCAGATTTAGCTGCTCTCGAATTTTTAAAACGCCTCGAATTTGCCTTTTTGTGTAGAGCTGGAAAAAACCGATGTTTTTCGATACTATTGATGTTTGGGAAGTGCACCATCGATAACTTTCAGTTGCAGTTCGGCAGAAAACGGTCCTCTTAAAAGCTGTAGTGACGCTACGCAACACTGTACAAACCGTTGATACCGATTAATATGAAACCATCGAATTTAAATCAACTTTTAATAGGGAAGTTTTACATTATGCTTAGAATTGAGTTTAAAGCAATCGAATTCGACAGTTAGGGGCTCCGCACTGGCAGTAAAGCACCTTGCCAGGCACCACGCCCACCTCGTAATTGTAGTTCCATGTCAGTTCGGTCCCGGAGCGGATGTGCGAGGCCGAGAAGAAGGCTACCCAGGGGAAGCGCAGGTCGTGAGTGTCCACAAAAACGTTCTGCACGAAGAGATTTGGGTTGCATGAGTGCTGCAAGGGAAGCAGAACGTCAACATTAAGAAACAATAGGATGTCACAATGCAACTAACATTGAAGTAGCGGCCCAAGTTGCCAGTGGTCTTCGCGTCCATAATGTAGGGCGCCTCATCCTTGCCAAAAAGCCTGCGCACCGAGTTCTCACGCACCGTCTCGTCCAGGTCCGCGTTCGGGTTGAAGTTAATCACCGCCCGCTCCTGCGAATCCAACTCGCTACTTTGCGTTGAGTTGCTCCTAGATGTGCGTTTGATTTTGCGCTGGTAGTGGTAATTGGGCCGGAAGTCGTCGTCGTCTTCAGCGTCGGGTCCACCGTTGTCCTCCTCTTGTTCCGGCTCCGAGTGCTCCACCTCCGACTCGTAGCCCTCCTTAAGTTGCTCCGCCACTTCAATGTAGTCCAGATCGGCGAAGTACTCGTCGCCTGCGTCCTGACCGCCTTCGTTGGCCATTGTCTCGGTGAGCAGGTGGCCGGCGTAGATGCAAATAAAGGCGCCTTTGGGGATGTCGTTTACGCAGCGCAGGCCCCAGCCCCGGTTCGAGGTCTTAAACACCTGCAGCTTCATCTCCAACGAAAACTGCACCACCCGGTTCAGGCAGTTCTTCTTGCACTTGCAGCGCGAGTTGCACTCGTAGATTCCGGTGGGCACGTGCTCGTGCAGCCGCTTGTACTGGTATCCGATCTCCTCGATAGGCTTCTTTGGATTGCAGTACCGTACGCCCGCCACGGTAAGCTGCCAGCAGGCACATTTCGACTTGTCCTAAGAAGGAAACGTGGTGGATCAGAGTGCTGATTAAAGCCATAGGTAATTATCAACTTACTGAGCAGTCGTCCTCGCAGTCGCAGCACACAAGGAACTCGTCGTCCAGGTTCAGATGGACGCCCTCGGTGGGAATGCGCTGTTTGGCGTAGGTGCACGGGGGGCGGCAACGTGTTGTCGTAGTAGTTGACCAGAGGAATGGCCATCTTTTCCTGACCTTTGGATATGTCCGAGTCCTTGACGATCGAGGGATCGATGGAGTACTCAGCCAGACTTTTCAGATCGGGCGTAAAATCAAAGTTGTCTACGTTCAGCACGTTGTCGGTGGCACGGAGATACATGTGCACCTCGGCCAAATTGCGCAAGGTCTTGCCACAGGGTCCTTTGTAGACCACGCGCTTCTTGGTCTTCCTGAAAATGATTAGGCGCTCCCAGCCGGAGAGCAGCGGCTTTGCCAGAGGACTGTAGCTATCTAGGCGGTGCACAATCTTGAAGAGACAGTTGGGGTTGCACTCGTGCCTCTTGTGCATTTTTGGAGGCAGATTGCGCTTAGCCGTGAAGTATACAACATGGCCCTTGGGCCTGTTCTCGTCGTCGACGTAGATGGTGGAGTTGTTAAGGTGGCGCACGGTACTGCCACTGTTACTGTTTCTGGTACTTCCAGGACCGCTGCGTTCACCGGGAGCAGTGACTGACGAGGAAGCGGGCGTGGCCGATGCCGCATTCTGCCCCGAGGAGCTGCTCTTTCGTGCAAAGGCTCGCATTTGTTGGTTGACCTGACTGCTGGATTCCATCTCCTTGGTGTAGCGAATGAAGGGCTCAGTGCGCTGCAAACACAGGGATTGATATTGGGTCTGATTGATCTGAATAATGAGATACTTACCCTTGGGACCCGCATCTGCTGCGCGTTTGCACTGTTCAGTGCGTTTTGGGTCTCCTTAAAAACCGGACCCAGTCGCAGGGAGCCCCTGTAGATCCATTCCGTGTGGTTCTTGTCCCCTTCAAATTGCATCAGCACCAGGCTGCAGTCAATGTCTATGACGCGGGCATACAACCAGGTACCGTTTGACTCGGTGCTCATGCTCTGGCCACGGGTGCACTGGACCATTGGCCGGTCCACGGAGTACTTTTCCACGTACTTTTGTATAAAGTCCCGAGAGCCGGCGTGTACGTCCTCCCACACCTTTTCGGAGGCCTGGCAAACGAGGCGAACATCCCGGTGCGGCACGTACTGCGTGTAGCCATCATCGTAGAATATAAGGTAGCGGTACCGATTGGCCTGCTTCAGCGGCTCGGCGATTATGCCCGGATAGAAGGCGCTTTGCACAACGCCCTTCTCCTTGCACCGTGAAAGGGTGGTTCCGTCGAAGTACGCTATGACGCGAGTGCCTTGAACAAAAGAAGAAGAAAATAAGTTAGCTGCTAGCTGGAAAACTTGATCCACCGGAAACTCACCAATAGTCAGGCGCACTGGCGGCGGCTCAAAGTAGGCAATGTGCTTGGCAGTCACTGTTTTAATCATTTGGTAGGGCGTGTTGAGGTACTTAATCTTGAAGCTTTTCATAGTGTTTCCGTTAATAGCGGTGCTCTCGGTGAACTCTATTACCTTGATGGAAACCCAGCTGGCGATGGCCTTGTTCTTCACCGCGTAGTACGTCTCACCCAATTGGATTGGTGGTCGAACTATTTCGCCAGCAGGCGGCACTTGGTGCTGGATTAAAATGAAAACATTAAAACAAGGGCCAGACTGCATTTTCACCGACTCACAGCATAGTCATTTACGCTCGGCACAATATCAAGGACCGGCAGGTGCTTGTGAACCACCGGGCAAGAATTGTACAGAGCGCAGTGCATCCTGTCTGCGGTGCTCTGAACCTTTTCAAGTTCTGCATCTGCCAATGCCATCTGGCGCTCAAGGCGGTCAGCTTTAGCTTGTAGAACAGTTTTTGACCAGGAGAGCTGGTTATTAATTTCCACCTTGTCCAGCACACCTTTAATAGCATCCTCCAGCTCATCCTCAATTAACCGCAGTTGGTCCCTGGTAAAATCGGATCTTTCTGTAAAAAAAAGATTAGGCTTAACGATTATCTTTATGGTAAGGGTATTTTAAGTGCAGAACCTGGCGGCTTCTCTTCCTCCTCATCATCGCTGCTGTCCAGGGCCACAAAATCGGCGTGATCCTGGTGAAAGTTTTTTAGAAGCAGCGGTTGCTTGGCTACCAGATGACCCGCATAGTCCTATTATAAAAGACACGTTATAAAAAGCCCTTCAAATATCTTACAGCTGTTTAACCTCATATAAGTCCATGGCGTTGTCGTGGCATTCCATGCAGAGAAACTGTTGCTTCGACGTCTTTCGAAGAACCTTGTAAAAGTTCAATGTAGCCATGTTGGCAATCACGAACTGTTTGTGGAGCCGCTTGCAGTTGCAGTTGACGCAGTCCTTGCCGTAAAAGATATCCCCATCGGACGGCAGATCGTCTAATTGCTCAACTTGTGCCTTTTGGTCAATGGCCTTTTCCAGCTCCACCTTAAGGATGTCTTCACTTTTGTCGATTTCCATGGGAGTTACGTTTTGGGCTGCCGCTTCTTTTGGTTTTTCATTGCTTTCTGTATCCTCAGAAATCCTTATTGCTGTTTTAAGGGAGTCCTCCTGATCTACATCCATGATAGAAATCTCTTTACGCAGCTCGTTTTGTTTTTGCTGCTCCTTGACTTCTGCATCTTTTTCGGGGGAACTCTCGGAGGTGGGACTGCTGATCAGTTCGATGCTGCTGTCTGCTAGCTCATCAGCCTCTTTTGCTCCTGTTTTTAGTGGTCTCTCAACGTTATCCCACTTTGGCTGATCCTCCACGGTGTCGTGTGAGGAGGGGGACTTAACCAGACCTGGACTCTCTATAAGCTCAACACTACTATCTGAATCAACCTCCAGGAGAGCCTTATCCGCAGCGTTGTCGGCAGCATTTTCTGGACCTTCATCGAACACTGGACTACTGGCAATGTCGATACAGATATTTTCCTCGGCCTTGTCTCTAGGTTTTTGCTCTTCCTTGTTAACCTCATCTGGCTTCTCTATGGTGACCTTTAATGGGCTGTTTGGAGGTGAGTTGCCCAGGGACAAGTCCTCCATTTCTACGTCAGCCGCAGCTTTGCATTCTTTTTCCTCCGGCATAGCGGAATCAACACAATTTTTTTTTCTCCCGCCGACGAGCCGGCATTCTGCACTTCTTCAGCGTTCAATTGCTGGACCCCCTCATTTGGGATTTCAGTGCCCTCTACACACTCCATTACTGCTGGCTTCGTTGCCATATTGTGTTTGACTGTAAGCTTATTAGTAAAGATACATTTTAGCAAACTAAACCAAGCGAAAATTCTTGTTGGTATTGTATACAATTCGGAAATAATTTTCCAACACTAATTTTTCTAGCAAACCAAAAAAGAACTGTCATTCGCGTAGAAATCACACAAAACCACAAATTTAACGGAAATTCATAGAGTTCGTTGCAGCAAAGGATTTTCATTTTATTTCGTGGTAAGAACATGGTTGTCTTTTTAAGCCTCGACGACCTTGGGATGGTAGCCGGTCTCATCGGCGGTGTAGACGACCTTCACAGTCTTGCCATTGGGGGCGACGTACTCGTATTCTCCGGAAACCACCCAGTTGTCGTGCTCCTTCAGAGCTCCAGACTGGACAGCACGAATGTGGTTGGATAGTTCATAGGCGTAGTTAAAGTCCAGCACGTTAACCTCGGCATCGCTCTTGAGAACATCAGCCTCCTCGTTGGCAAAAGCCAAGGCAACAAGGCAGGCAAGAACAATCTTATAAAACGTTATTAGAGAAAAAATATTCGAATTGTTTAATACAGCCACTTACCACGAACTTCATGGTTGAATAAGGGATGTGTGTGCTGATAGATTGCGAAAGAAATCTGACTACATGCATCCAAAAACTGTGCTTTTATAGCTCTTTCTTGACATTTTACCGACCAGAATGTCCAATCGCATAAATTTTGTTCATAACTGGCTCCAAACGGACGTTAGTCTTAATTAAACAAAAGACATTGATGCAGTCATTCTGCATGCATTAATTATCGCCCCACTCGGAGTATCATATTCATTGGACTTATCTGCAGGGATCTCTGCGAATATTCCCGTTTTGCAGGCCCGTTCATCAATTGTCAGCGGCGCACGATCAGCTTTCGGCTGATAAGCGCAAACCGGTCACCCGCATAACGCAAATTAATTGCTATTCATTCGATGTTATCGCAAATTAGCATAATTTGGAGATAACTCCACTATCTGTCCACTTTGGCTCCCGCGGATGCAACCGGTTTTAATGCGATGACCCTGGGATTTGAATTGCAGGGCGGGCGCTCGATAGTGTTGGATAACGCCGCGAATACTGATTTTCAGCTCTTTTTGCTATTCGCTGCGAAGTCTCACGTGTTGGATAAGTGGAGGGAATTGAGAAGTCGGACCCAAAAGATTAATCAAAGATACAACATTATGGCCAGCGATTCTGGCAGCGATTACGAGGTAGAGTCCTTCATCAACCCCAAACGGGTGCGACGGACAGTCAATGACGACAGTGCCGACCTGCTGGGCAACTTCGACGACCAGAAGCGCAAGGAAATCTTTGAGGGCACTTATGTGGATAAGGAGGACGGCCGGAATCCCAGTGATTCGGAGGGCAGCGATAGCGAGGAGAAAGAAAGGTCAGATGGAGAAGGATCAGCGGAAAGCGGTGTTGCTTCTGAAGAGGAGGGAGATGCGGCGGAAAACGGCCAGATTACAACTGCACAATTAGGCTCCTTGCTGCGGGGAGCCTCTAAAACCAACAGACACGTTCTGTACGTGACGAACCTAAACTTTGAGACCACAAAAGACGACCTGGAGCTGCACTTTTCAGCGGCGGGCACAGTCAAATCAATCCGCATCCCCAAAAAGCGGCGAGGGGGCTTCGCCTTCGTGGAGATGACCGACCTGCCCAGTTTTCAAAAGGCCTTTCAGCTACATAATACAGAGTTGCAGGGCCGCAACATTAAGGTACAAATATCTGAGGCGGGCAAGAAGAAGTCGGCCAACAAAAAGAATATCATTAAACAGAAGAACCGGAAGCTGGCAGAGATGCGAAACGAGCAAAAAACCTTCACTAAGAGCGGCAAGTTTTACGACAAGGACCTAAAGAAGGAAAAGGCCAAGGAGATGCTGGCACGCAAGAGGTGGCGCAAGAAGCCTGCTCCCAGGCCCACATAAATAGTTTCAATTCTTAAAATGTAAGCCAACTTATTATTATTAAACACGAATTACAAGCTACAACAACCGAGTAACAAGGATTTAATTGGTTACTGCCAGCGCACGATATAAAAGTTTCGTTTTCCCACGCGCAACAGAGACACTCCGTTTCGCAGGATGTGTATTCCGGTGGTGAGCACCTCGGCGATATTCTGTACTCGTTTTTGGTTAACGTAGAATCCTCCTGCGTTTATAATGCGCACCGCATCAGCTGAAGAAGGTAAAGCATTTAGTGAAAACATCATTTTGAATCTCAATGTACTCACTCTCGGTAGGAAAGCACTTTGCTTTCATGGCCAACTGCAGAATGGACATTCCAGGCTCAGTCAGTAGATCCACCATAGTGGCTCCCTGGAAAGTCTGTTGAATTTCAGCGAGGTTTAGCTCCGCCAAACCCTCTACATTGCCTTTGTACAGCGCATTGGTGACTCGCTCTGCCTGCTTCAGGCCGTGTTCTGCAAGACCAAAGCGCATTAAATTCAGATCATTAAGCCACACACCTGGTAGTACCTCCATGGACCAGCAGCGTTACATCCTCAGCTAACAGCGTTTGCGCCTTGCGCTTCTCCGGCTCCTTTGTGTGCTCCCTCATTAGTTGCTCAACCTGTGGCAACGGAATGAAGGTGAACAACTTTAGGAGTTTCTCGACCTCAGAGTCTGGCATGCGCAGGAAAAACTGGTAGAGGGCGAAGGGTGAGGTTTTGTCTCCGTCTAACCACACGGCGTTGCCCGCAGATTTGCCGAACTTGTCGCCCTCTTCCGTTGTCACTAAAGGAAGGGTGAGTCCGAAGACCTCCCGCTTGCGCTCCACGCGACTGATGAGCTCGTGCCCCGTCATCAGGTTGCCAGTCTGGTCGGAGCCGCCCATCTGAAAACAGCAGTTGTGCCTGCGCAAAAGATGAAGCCAATCATAGGCCTGAAAGATCTGGTAGGTAAACTCGGTGAAGCTCATGCCGTCCTCCGATTCCAGCCTGGACTGCACAGAGGATCGAGAGAGCATGGAGCCCATGCGGAAGTGACGTCCCATGTTGGCTATAAAGTCGATGAGATGCAGGTCGGCATACCAGTCGGCATTGTTGACGATTCTGCGGATAACGGCTATGGATTAAGGCTCTCAAACATCGGGAATATACATACGTTAAAGGGGGCAGTAGAGATTTGTGCTTGCTCGTGTCCCACAGGCATTTCTCGTGGTTCTCGAACACCTGTCTCAGCTGCTGCTCAATTGCCCTTAGATTTGTCTCGATCACCGACTCGCCCAGCTGATTGCGCTCCGTCTTCCGCCCACTTGGATCACCGATGAGCCCAGTTGCTCCTCCCACAAGGGCAATGGGACGGTGCCCGGCTCTTTGGCAGTGGAGGAGACCCATGATCACGAGCAGGTTGCCCACGTGCAAGCTGTCGGCAGTGGGATCGAAGCCAGCATAAACGCTTTGCTGACTAGTGGTAAAAAGGTGCTTAATCTTGGGCCTACGGGAAAACAATTTTTATACACAAAATTTTTGTATTTGGATCAGTCCCAGAACTAACGCCGCTGTGTCGGGAAAAATGCCCTGGAAGAATCCTCGGTCCGTGAGTTCCAGGAGATTCTTTTGAGCCAGGTAGCGTCGTCCATGCCGGTATCCATCTTGAAGTGGTTTCAGTAAACTCCAGCGCAGAGGCAACATTATGCAAAGCTCCACAAGAGTTTAAATCCCCATAGCGAAACTTTTGAGGTTGGAGTCATCAGCTGTTTCACGCACAGTGAATGGCAAGCCCAAATAGTTTGGGCCGAAAGTCAGCTGCTGTTTGTGTTTCGCTGAGAATGGCAAACAAAAGTATAAACAAAGGGTGTTCTGCGGATCTATAGTATAATCGACTGCAGCCTAACATGACGACGGTCTAATCCCAATCAAGTTAAAGATAATGCTGCTGAAGATACGCCACGCGCTTCTGGAAGTCACCAGTCCACCGGCCACAAAGCAATCCGCAATAATAATCAACAATGATGTGATAATCAGTTCAGGGAGCATTCTGCAGCCCCATTTGGTTTTAGATGGGGACAAAGCCGCGGAAAACAAAGGAATCATTGCCAGACTGCAGAGGGGACAACTGCTGAATGTTCAGAGTGAGGAGGAGGGAGGCGTTGGACGGATACGGTCGCTCAGCTTTCTGGTCACCTTTGATCCGCAGCAACGGCGGCCGAAGCAGAATCAGAACGGTGCCTCGGGATCCAGGCAAGCGCATATCCTGTCCCGCTTCACGGCCCATCCGCTGTATGTTTTCTGCGCTGCAGAAGTTTCCCGCAACCTGCACCGCATCCTGCTCACAGCGGACTCCGCTGACGAGAGCGAGGTGCTTCGCTCCAGCTTTGTGGTGCTGGGCATGCGCACGCCGGAAAAAGAGGGCTCCTTTAAGCGTTTCCTTGCGCACGTCGGCCACTACCTGCGACACCTGCAACCCATGCAGACGCTGGACGACGTCCTGGTCATGTGCTCGCCCTTTGGCCTTGAAAACTTCTACAAGACCATCAGCATTGGGAAGGTGTCCAATGTGATGGGACGCAGTGGTTGCTTGTTTGCTATCTCAAACGCTTTACCCTTGGGTTGTGAGGGATCCGCTGTGTTCAACAACAAGCTGTATGCAATGATGAGTAACAGACATTATGGATTCCTTTAATATTCTTATTTCAGTCGACTGGTAGGCATTGTGATATGTACCTCGTTTCAACGGCAGCAGGAGAACGTGAACCTCACACTGGCCGCGAACTTTGACTACCTGCTGCGTAACTTTATGGAGCAGCTGGGCATGTCCACTGCCACGCTTCAGCTTACTCGAGCGCCCTCGAATTTCGCCTGTGAGAATAGACTAATAACATCTATTTGCGTCATTTTAATTACATATGTATTTACCGCCCAGGGGAGCGCACGATTGTGGTTATAGAGTCATCGGGTCAACAAGGCACCGGCACTTTCGTGCGGGTCCACAACAAACACTTCATCCTCACCTGCGCGCATGTGGTGGGGCAGGTAAATATTGGTTCCCACTGTTTTGGGCCATCTAATTGTTGACCTCCACACAGAGCAACGAGAGGGTTAATTGCCGGGCTGCCGATCGTGAATTCCAGTCGGAGGTGATATGGTGCAATCCGGATAGCGATCGGCCCTTCGATTTGGCGCTTCTCACAGCACCCCAGGATGTCCCGCAGCGCTACTGTGTGCGCCTTGCCAAAAGTCCAGCGACCCTTGGTCAGATGGTGTACAACGCGGGATTTCCGTACTACGTCAACTTCAGTTTTAAACACGACTTCAATCCTTCTATTTTCCAAGGAAGAATAATCAAGTGCGACACTGGGGCAATCATGTCCGACGGCAGCGTACAGGCAGGCCAAAGTGGAGGGCCCATGTTCGACCAAAACGGTTGCATCCTGGGTGTGTGTGTGTCTAACATAAAGTTGGACGACATTGTCTACCCAAATATTAATACAGCCATTCCTATTTGTGACATTCGAAATACGTTACAGCAGTTTGCCCGCACCAACGGTAAGTAGAGAGTGGTCATTAAATCCCTTATCCTAATCATATTTCGCTTTAGATGTAAAGGTGCTCAGCAATCTGGTGGCCAGCCAAGACGTGCATCGAGTGTGGTCTCTGGAGATGCCACCCATTCGAAGCAAACTTTAAAGGAATTTACACAGCTTTGTATTGTTAACGTAACTGTAATTAAATGTGGGCAATCAGCCAAGTGGCTATTCTTTAAGCTTAAACAATATACTGTTTACTACAAAAATATTTTAATAATTGATAATTGTCTTAATTTTTGTCTAAGCAATCGTTTACGTGACTCTGAAGTACGCTGAGAACGTTAAAGGACTTTGAGCAGATGGGACAGCGCAGGCCGACCTCCGAAGTCCGCGAGGCGGCGCCTGTTGGATCAAGGACCTGAAAAGTATAGTTAATATTTAGATTTGTACGTTGTGAACAGCAAAGTTCTCACTCTTACTGGTCTCTGCTCCTCCCTCAGACTGCTCCTGCTCGAACTCAAAGAAGATGCAGGCGAGGCCGACTTGCTGGTCTTGGCTAGAGCTTCGATAAGCTCTTGATTTCTCCTCTGCAGCGCCCGCAGATCCATCAAATACTGATCCTTCTCGCCGGCGTTCTTCTCGCGATCTGCCCGCTCCAATTCAAAGTCCCTGCGGTATATATCGTTCTGGGTCTGAAGGTGATCGATTATCTCCTGCTTTTGGATGTCCTTGGCCTTTAGTTCGTTGATGTCACGTTGCAATTTCTCCATTAGTTCTTGTGCACTGGTCAGATTTACTTTTAAGCAGTCAATCTCTTCAATGTAGGTTTTCCTCTGTAGGTTGTACAGAAAATAGCGTTAAGGTGGTTGTTTTACTCACAATAGTTAATCAAAAAGTACAAACCATGTCGTTGGCCTCCAGATTCTCCGCCATTAGCTTAGAGAGCTGACGTTGTAACTCCATCACTTGACGGTCATGTTCGTCCCGCTGGACATAGTTCAAGGCCTTGGCTGGGTCCGGTTCTGTTTGGCCTCCGTCCTCAGGTACAAATTCAAATGAGTGCTGCAATATCAAAAGAAGGAAAGGCGGAACGCCCCCTCTGCGGTTATTTTATTCGTACTGCGCAGTTAAAATTGTAGATATGGAAGTGGGCTGAGAAATTTCAGCAGCTGTCCGGAGACTTGCACTATAGTGGCGATTAATCAACATGTCTACTTACCATCTTGAGCTGCTGCAGCTTATCGATCTCCACCCGCATGTTGTCAATCAATGATGTCTTCGCGGAGATGCTTTGCCTCAGCTCACTCTGCTCTTTCTGGCTGCAATTCTGCTCCAACTCGATCTGAAGCATCTTGGTCTCTAGGTCTTCCTTAAGCTTCTGGTTTTCCTCACGTAGCTGCTCAACCTGCTCTTGGCAAGCCTGTAGCTGCTGCTTGTACTGCTGCTCCCTGTCGGCGGCCTCCTGGCGCCACTGCTGCGTCTGTTTATGGTAGTTCAGCATGGTGTGGTTCACCTTGTCAAGTGTGTCTGCGGGATAGTTATGGGATAACTTTGAAGAGCTATTTTATGGTTGCGGTTCACTTACTCTTCAATGCTAGATATTCGGTCATCATGTTTTGCAGCTTGACCACGTCCTCGGCGGAAGCCTGGAGCGAGCAGAGGCTAGGAAACTGCGAGTAAACACTATTCTGTGGGGAGATGGACGAATGGGGTTAGACGCTAGCAAGGAGTAAGCATACTCCAACCTTTAGGACGTCGGACTGCACTTCGCCCATTATGAAACTGGCTGCTAGGGACTGGTGCTGGGACGCGCCGGAGTCCAGCGATTTCGGTTGCTGTGAACGGGTCATGCTGGTGGGAGCATTGGCCTCAGATGGTTGCTGAATGCTTGCAGAGAGAATGGGTTCCTTCGCCTCCTCAACGTCGTCCAAACCGTCATACACCAGCGAACTTTGGTCCGGCAAAAGCGAGGAGTACGGCGAGCTTCCTAGGATGACGAATGACTCTTCCTCCGACATGCTGGTCTCGTTGTCGTGGTAGCACTGACTGGTTTTTATCATCAGCGATCTGTGAACTGCGGCCGCACATATGCTGGGAGTCCCCTTTTTCTAAAAATCGTCTGCGACAAGATTGAGAACTCGTTAAATCCGCAGAGCCAAACACCGACAAATGTTTTTGGGATCGAGTGTATATCTGAAAATACAGATGTACACAGGAATACAAATGATATGATATATATGTAAATGAAAAATAGATTTGTATTTTTGTGATTAACAAGGCAATGAATCATGGTGCTACTGAGCTAGAAAGAAATGAGGAGAGCCCACTATCTACTAATGGGGTTCACTCCACAGGGGCTTTTCTGATCGAAACTACTCACGTTAAAAAGCCTCTCGCGTATTCCGCTGCGTATTGATTAGCTTCTATTTTGTATTTACCTTATTTTTGTCAGCTATTAAACAGCTGATGCCAGTGTGACCGAGTGCTGTTAAGAAATATACTTCCGCTCGACTGCTTTACCGATTTTGTATCAATGTGTAGCGGGCTGGCCTATCTAAATTCAAACCCACAGTCTTCTCTCATCTCTGCGGCTAACATGCACAAGGTGCGTGCAAATAAAGCTGCTGGAATTGCAAGGGACTTTTGGAAAACCCCCGCAATATGCATTCACCCCAATGACGTAAATTCCATTTGATCTGCCTTTGTTGCAGGGCCAAGATTGATGGGCCCGTCCTGAAAGGCCGGATAAACGAGTGGCCAGCGAAATTACAGCCCATTGTAATTGCCGAATTTAGCGGATTCTAATGGCCGGGAATAAGGGGGCTTAGGAGGGCGGAATGCGTTCTGAACCCGCCAAACCGGATTCAGTGCCCCCATCCCGCGATTCCATTGTTCGGCTTCAACTCGGTGGATGTGGGTTAATAAGGCTTTCGCGTGCTAAATATGGGTGTGAGGGAGACCCGCGACAAGGAACTGGTGGCTTGTGGAGATGCGACTTTCGTTATTACCATAACCAACCGGTTCGCTGGCTTTGTGCAGAGATCCCCATCCCCCCACCTCAGAATTAATACGTTCGCAGCAATGATAATCATCATGCGGTTTATTACTCAAGAATCTCTATTTGATCTTACGGCTAATGCACGCGAATAAATAAAATTAAAGAAAACTTAAACAGATACGATACGAAATTCCATTAAAGCTCAAAGTGCATTCAAGAAAACTCCTCAAACAACTAAACCTAGCAGGATCATTCACTCGTGAGGCAGAACGCCAGGACGCCTGCGCTCCATCACATTCACTCACACTCCACACTCCACACGGACTTAAGCTTAGGGGTCCTCCAGTCAGGAGGACCTTACGCCTGCTGCTGTCGGAAGAGGCGCCGCTGCACCTGGTGGGGTGGCTGGAGATCGCGCTGCAGGACGGAGGCGAAGTGCTGCTGCTTCAGGGCGCTGATGGTGGCGATCTTGCGGTGCCGGTTGGGCTGGGCTGCAGCAAGCCCAAGACGAAAGTAGGGCAGGTCCTCGTCGCGCGGCAGGGGGATCCTCTTGTCCTCTTCCACTGGGGAGCCGTCGGGCCGCACTCGGATCACCAGGGGACCGGTGAGGAAGCTCTTCGGCGGCTCTGCCGTGAGGGCTGCGGCCACAGGGAGCTCGCTGCTGGACTGCTGCACGGAAGGGTAGCCGTAGGCCATGTCCATGTCCATGGCGTACTTGTGCTTTTGCTCGCCGCTCTCGAAGATCGGGTTGGCTCCGTGGCTGGGGCTCTGGACCTGTGCACCGTGGGGCAGCTGCTGGCGGGTCAGGATGATCAGCGAGGAGGCGGGCGGCGTGGGCAGGGGCTGGAGCGGCTGGCGAGTGGTCACCAGGCTGGCTCCGCTCGGGTGATCCCGCATGATCGAGGCCCAGACTGCGGAAGAGAGAGAGCAGAGGCGGGTGGTCAGATCGAGACCGAGGTGGAGATCGAAATCTCACGTCTAGCACGTCGCGGCTGCGCACTGCGGAAGTTCTGACGCGGAAACCGATCTCCGATCTTTCGATCGATCTCCCACGCAGATGGGGCACTTACTCAGCTCGTTGGCGTTGCGCTGATACGGATCGAGCACCTCCAGCTGGGCGTCGGAGAGCGTCTGCAGCTTGGCGGATCCGTGGCCGAGCAGGTTGTGCTTGCACTGGTTCACCGGCAGTCCTCCGACGGCGGCAGTCGACTTGCAGTGCACGCTAACCAGTTGGGCGAACGTCGAGTATAGGTGGGACATCTGCACAGAAAGCGAATTCGGTAAGGTTTTGCTTGAAAAAACTCAGAAGCGAGTGGGAAACTGCAATCCCACATCTTTTGACCTACACAAAACTAAGTCCTGCTAAGAATAGATGGTTTTTAACATAAGGCAACCTAATACAATATGTGCACTGAACATTGCGATTTAGATCTTGAGAAAGTCAAGAGTAATTTCTCGCTGTGTGACGAAGAGCGATCGCGGTAATTATGGGGCCATGGGTGAGCAGGAGGCAGAGGTGGAGCCCCGGGCACTGGGTGGTGGGTGGTGGGAGGGTTTCGCAAGGTGCGTGTGTCAGGGGGAGATGATTGCACTTTCGTTGCACAAACGAAATGCATTTCGACAGCGCGGCCTGGCAGTTGGGCAACCGCCTCCCAGGGCGCGGGTTGGATGGTCGGGTATGTGCCCCACTTCGGATGGGTATGGGTATGGGTATGGGTTTACGGTTCAGCAACCAAACAGCAGCTCATTGTCTATTCTCCGTGGCCAGCGGAGCGTTGAATGGACTTTTAATTATCGCCGAATGTTCTACGCCGGTGACACATCTGGCTCTGTGGAATTTCTCTGATCGCCGGTGACGTCAGATCGATGCCGATCTGCCCCGCTGCTAATCCAGCGATAATCGAACGCAGAAACTCCCCAGAAATTCCGAATCCGGCACTTCTCACGATTTAGCACCTCGAGTGGCAGACAAACGAACGATGAGTGAAAGAGCAAACAGCAGAACAAAGAAGGTTCGTTCCAAAGTGGGCCATTGGATTATTGGATTCTGAGTGTCCGATTCCGCACCGCTGCAAAGTCGCTTCTTCTGGAGATACACCCTTGATCTGCTTCCATCACCACTCGAGGAGCCAGCGAAGAGCTTCATTTGCATTGGCTCAGCTCTCAGCTCTCAGCGCTGGGGTTTTACAATTTTACGCCGTTTGCATAATGCATCGGATCGTATCGGCGGCGGGGCCAAAGTTGGGGAGTTGGCCAGTTGGCTCACATTACCAATTACCGTTACCCGGGCAGCCGCACAAACGTGTGCAAACTGTGAAATGCAATTGATACCATCGCCCCACCCCCTCGCCCCTTTTGTGTGTGCTTTTGTTTAAATATTTTGTGTGTGGCAAACGATTAGTTAAAGCTCGCTGTGATTCTTACTGTTCAGCCCTCCGGTTATGAGGCATGCTGTTACCCTCCACATGCCAGCCGCATACGTCAGCAGTGCGTTATCTGATTCGAGTAACTGCGTCAAGACTCAATGGTCCGGGCCCTGGCACAATTAAAAAGTACGCCAGAGTCAGAATTGAAGACTCGAATGAAGGAGATCGAAAAAAATATATCAAATTATTTATGGCTCAGCGGGCAGAAATTCCAAAAAGCGGGAGTTGTCAAAGTCACGTACTTAATTTGCTTATATAATATACGCTCGTATTTATAAAGATATGGAGATTGGAGATCGTCGGGGACAGGTTGTAATTCATTAGCCTTCCAGCTAAGTGACTGAGCTGACAGCGACTGCAATCAATGAGAGGCTGGCTACAGAAACACAGATCTTGGCCAAAAACAATATCTGATCTTAGACTTCCTTATGGGCATGGGAACTGTTCGATCGAAGAGAAACACCTGAAGAGCGATGCTGGCTGGCAAGATGGGAAGATGTCCATTAAGCTGACTTGCGTGGTCGCTTCCCGAACCGCAAGCATGGGCGTAACTCTCCCCATCTCCCCAAGCCCCATCCCCGAGCCCCCGTCCCATTCCACATGCCATCCCCAACGGACCACCAGTTCAATAACCTGTTGATATGCGCAGGTTACATTATGAAACATCGAAACATCGAAATTGCCAGCAAAAGAAATCAACAAAAAGCAGCCACGAAAATGAAACATTTCATAACACCAAAATAAAAAGCGGCGGAGAGCAGAGAGAGGCCGTAATGACTCCGGTTCGATTGGGTATCACTGGGAAAAGGGTTCCGATGCGGGCTTCCATTGCGATTACCCTACCCCTGCCATACCCCACAAACGAATATCCCGCCATACTTTACGTAAACACAAAAAGTAATGCGAACATAATTTATTTATTGGAGTTCGAACCGCAAACCGGCTAAACGCGTTTGCACTCATAAAAACATAAAGGGCAACAAAAACGGTTAATCTGTTGTTTATTTTTGCAACCGAAAATCGAAAGCGTCTAAATAGCAGCGACCACTTGGGGGAAGCGGCACAAAATCACCTCAAAACAGGAAGCTGAAGCATCTTCTATAAATAAGTGAGTGTTCCGAGGCGAGATATCGTTAGAAATGTACATTAATTGCAAGACGCGGACACCACAGGCCAGTATCATCAGCGAGCAGGCCCGCAAATTGCGTTTCTACTTTTGGGCTCTTAATTGCCTTTTTAGAAATTATTTTCTCGTTTAAGCGGACTCGTGTGGGGGTGCCGGATGTGGCTTTCAATCACTTCTGGCTGGATCGGGTAACATTATTCTGGGCTCTATTGTCTCGATCTGCGGGATTTTTAAGGCGCAGTTCGCGTGCTTAGCGGTCGAAAAAGCGGTTCAGATTGATGCGCTGCCAGCCAAAGGCAGCGGGCAAAAAGATCTAATGACTGGCAAATTGCTATATATAAATTAAAGTCCATCGGCTAATTAATAAGCGAACAATAACAATAACAAAACAAAAACCACAACGGCTGGGAGTTCATTAACCAAAAAACATAAAATAAACAAAAACTGCGGAGAAAATTGCCACAACGTTGTCACGCTTTGTTGCACAAACATTTGCGCTGAAAAGTGAAAAGCTTTTAGTTTTTTGCTGGCAGTTTACAGCACTTGCGAATGTAAACTGAAACCGTTGTTTCATAAATGCAAATTAATGTTTGCTCCGCGCTCGGCTGAACTCGCATATTTCGGGGGATCGGCTGACTAATCGCCGATGGATCCAAAGCCCCACGAGCATAACCTTTCCGCTCCATCGGTTGTGAAACCAGATTGCCGATGATATTTGTGGCTCTGCTTGCGTCTCGAACGCGCTCGAAATCGCGTGGTCAAGTGGCAGCCAGCCGGTCCGCCAGACCGGTACTCCCAGGCACCGCAATCCTCGCCAGACTCTGATAACGCCCAATGTCAAGACCGCACTCTGCAGGCGTCTATTTATGCCAAGGACCGTTCTTTTTCAGTTATTCGGCTCGAGTATTTATTGTGTTATTTTGTTGGTTACGATGCCAATCGCGGTACAGTTATGCAAATAAGCCAGCGAATACCGCTCACTGACAATGAACCGCGTCTTGTCAACCATTCATATTCATTTCCATTTTCATATTCATTCCTTTTGTTTTCGGTGGACCGCAGAGCGAAGCGTAAGAAAACAGAAGCGGGCAAAACGCCGTTAATATGCGAACTCATTGAAGTTATCACAACATCACCATATCAATATCAATTTCAATATCAATATTAATAACGACCATAATGCTCGGCTGATCAAGTATTCAGATGTGCGCTAGATTCGACAAGCCCGACAGATTTAGCAAACTAGACAGATGCGCAATGCCAAGGACAATTGGCGCATGTAAGTGGAGTGAACGGGGCGTATGCGCAACCTGCACCCGGCACACGCTGCGTATGCGCAATCTGGGGGGATTTTCTCTTACCTTCTCGTTGCGGGTCAGAAACTCCCAAATGGGAATGGCCGATGACGAGCTGATTTGCATGTGGAAGGCGGCCAGCAGGCAGCAGGCCAAGATTGCTTTCGCCGCAGTCGTCATAGTGGCGTTGTTGTTGCGTACTCCACACCAGGCGAGGAGTTCAGGGGATACGTGATCCGGGGTCCGTTGCTCGTTGGCCGGTGTAAGTTGTCCGTGGGTCAATTGCACGCCCCGGTTGTGTAACCTCTGTGCGGCGACTTTCTTTTTTAGGGCCCAATAAAAGCGCCTTTGTGGCCGCTCAGTGGGTTATCAGCTGGTCTCGGGGGCTGGCGCCGTGGACTTTCTTTCCGACGCACTTAACCGAATTAGCCCAAACAACGAGCGTGGCCAATTCGTATTATCGCTGTTTTTTGGTCTTAAGTGTGTGCGTTCGGCTCAGTTCGAAACGCAAAAGCTTGTTTCACACATCTGCTGCTGGGCGAAAGCGGGGAGCGGTGGTGGGGGGAGGCGCCTACAACTCGATCACGAAAACGGCGAATTCCAAGCTATTTACGTATATGTTTTTGGGTCTAAAGCACAACCGATCGCGGCGGGGTTTGTGAGTCGTCTTCGGACGACGCTGGCGCGGCCCACGTATTTAAGCGCTGAGAGCGGCTTGGCGCTCGGAGAGCTGCTGAGAGAGCGGTAGCCCCGCGCGAAAGCGCCACTGAGCGAAAGCGAGAGCGGGGCCCCCCAGAGAGAGAGCAGGGGCGGGGATGGCGTCCCGCCAGAGAGTCCTTGGCGAAGGATCCCATCTTCTCAGAACAGAAGGCATAGAAAACTCAGATAATTTTTAATGAACATTTAAAGCAATTTAAAGCAGTTGCAACAAACTCAACCTTACTGAGTAATGGTTCCGATTACAGTTAGTCAAACTAACGGTAGTCTGTAGTTTGTGTAAAAGAGCTCCTTCAACACCCCGTTCGCGTGTCTGGCTAAGCCGCTGGACTCTCTGGGCAAACTTGTTCTACGCTTGCACTGGAAATAGAAATTGAAAAACAAAGCAAACAATCGAAAGGCCGAAAGCAATAACAACCACATCTGAGCCGAACATCAGCGAGGCATTGCAAAAATTTCAAAGTCAAGTTTGCGTCGTCATCGCGTCTGTTGGAGCGCGGAGTGTCTGGGCCCGGCTTGTAACTCTTAATTGTTTACAGGCGGCGGGCAGCACTAAATTTTTGCGAATTCTTGTCAACAACAGCAACTCGGTTTTTGACAGCGGCCTGCTAATTAAACAAAATATACACATCAAATTCTAAAATGCGACGGCGCCATGATCCTGTTTGCGAATTCAATTCGCGGGGAGATCGCTTAATTCAATTAACCGGTAAAAGTCGGTAAAAGGGAGCAAAGAATGCGATCGCTGGAAATTCCTAACATCAGCGGGCCCCATAAATTTGATAAGGCCGGGATGGCTTCACTGAGTCATCCGCCTCCCAGCGACCAAGAGAGCGAAAGGCGAAAGCCGTTAGGTTGTTGACTCGTCAGATTACAATGCGTCGGAATGGATGGATCTGTTGGAGGAAGAGCCGTTAAGGCCCTGTTCCCATTTATTCCGGGACTGCGATAAGAAAGAGCTCCGTTCAGCTCAATATTCAGATATTTTACTTATGGTTTCTGAACGCTTGCGGGGGAGCTAAGACTGGATTTTCATACTACAATAATTCGACTAAAACTAGATCCCTAAATATTTAACTACAAAAGTTCAGTTTTCGATCGCTCTTCATGTCAGTTTTGGTACTCTACTAATTTTGGCCTGATTTCAAAGTGGCGTACCTTGAAACGTTTGTTTTTGCGTCCTTTAGCAAGCTTTGTTCAAATATTTTTATTTGCTAAAGGCAGATTTTTCATTGCTCATCACTATTTTAGTAAAAACATTTCAGTTTGATTGCTTTGATCATTTTAATGAATCTGGGTATAGGCGATTTTACACTTCTAGATGTTCGATTAAAAACTAAGCGCTCTTTCATGTCCAAATAGATAATCGGTGATCTCTGGCTCCTCCATTTACAGGGTGTTGTACTTCAGGAAGTTGCGATCGTAGCGGCTCCCGCCGCCGTACAGATCCTGGTCCTCGTTGTTCTTGTACATCATGAAGGCCTGGTTCTGGTCGTCGCCGAAGATGGGCACAAAGCTGCCGAAGCTGAGCGTTTGCTTGAGGTGCTGGTCCGGCCGGCGGCCCAGCTGGATGACCTTGCCGTACAGATCGGGATCCGCTTGGAGGGCTCGGTCGAAGTCCCTCCAGTGAACGAACTTCACCTGCTCGCTCGGAATGGCGTTGTTGTCCAGCAGCTCCCGCAGGGTGTTGGAGTTCACGGGTTGTACCACGTTCAGCTCCTGCTCCTTTGGCTGCGAGTCCCCGGAGGGCAGACGGCGCTTGATGGGGGTGGTATCCAGGTCCCAGAGCCAGGCCATTAGAGGAGTCACAGAGGCCTGAAATAGGTCGTAAATGGTTTGTAAAGGCTTCCCGGAATGCCGACTCCTGCGCAGACTCACCTGCTCACTTCTCCCTATGCGGGGAATGGTCTTTAAGTTCTTCATGGCGAAGTTCTCGCCTCGCTTGCCCAGACGCGGCACATTCTTGGTGATCTTCAGGAAGAATCCTGGACTGTCGTCCGCCTGGCCGAGGGACACAAGAGCTACCAGGAGCGGGACAGCCAGAAAAGCTAGGAATCTCATGGCAAAGCCGCTCTCAACCAACCTGACTGCTGCTTCAAAACGGATGGACTTTATATAGAGGGATGGTCCCCCATTTGGAGACCCAAATAAATGCGGGCGGTCTTCGGAATTAGCATTATCGATCGATTACTTTGGACCTGATAAGAAGTGTACTTACCTGACCCAAATTCATATTGATGTTCCCCTTTACTCAAAACTAACTAAATTCCAAAGTAATGATGTTTTCTGATACCCATATATTCTAGTTACTTACCTGTACTTACCTTTTTTTGATGTTCCCCTTTACTCAAATCTAACTAAATTTAAATGTAATAATGTTTTCTGATACCCATACATTCTAGTTTGAACTTTATTAAAAATACATATTAAATAAATACAACGATTAGGAAAATGGTGAATCCGGGGGATGAGAGGCCACTAGATCAGAGAGCTCTGCGACCACTGGGCCACCTCCGTGGGCAGCGCCTGGTAGCGCTGCACCGCCTGCTGGATCTGTCCATAGGTGAGCGCCAACTTGTGCATCTCGAATTCCTTCTGCACCTTGCCTACTCCGCCGCCGACTCCGCCGGAGAGCGGTAGTATCAGCTCCCCGATGCGCAGGTGCTCGAAGGCCTTGAGCACGATGGACCGCTCCACTCCCTGCATCGTGGTGGACACCTTGGCGAATTTGGAGAAGCGGGCAAAGATGATCTCGAAGTTGAAGGGGTCGCGGTCGTATATCTCCGAGTGGTGCTTGATGGCGATGATTAGGCACAGCTCCAGGACGGAGAGCCCGCAAAGCAGCTCGACCTTGTCGTCGCCTTCAAACTGCGAGCCCAGGGCCACCATTTTCTCGGCGTTGATGTGGGGGGACTCTGGTCGGAGCTGGGCCACCAGGCGGAACAGAAAGTTCTTGAGGAAGGCCTCGCTGATGTCGAAGTCGTAGAGCGTCTGCAGGGTGCGCTGAACCGGCTGGGAGGCCAGTACCTTGGCCACGTGCTTGTTCCAGGTTTCCCGCACTCTGGGAGAGAAGGCGTACTGACCTGGGTCGAAGTGGTTCCTGGCGAGGCAGACTGCCTCCGATCGTAGTCTCTGAAGGCTGCTGATACGCCCCGACGCCGCCTGCAAGGCACTGCCGGTGGGCAGGGACAAAAGCTCCCGGCAGAGGGCCACGTACTCCTCGAAGCGTTCTGAGTTCGGGAACAGGAAGACCTGCCGGTGCGAGAAGCGCGACTTGACGCGTTTCTCGAGCAGCTCGATCACGTCCAGTCGGCAGGTGACGCCCAGAACGCAGATGGGGGCTTGGGCGGACTGCGAGACGTCGAAGAGGTTGTAGAGCAGAGTCTGGTTGTGGTGGGCGCAGAAGAGGTCGAACTCCTCAAGGATGAAGACCACGCTCTTCGACTGCTTGCCGCCCGCCTTAAGGCACTGCAGCAGGAAGGCCAGGTTCTCGGCGAACGATCCGAACACCTTGCCGTCGGCGGCATTCTCCAGCCGCATCTGCACGGTGATCGACTTGAGGGCCACGCGGTCGTCTGTGTGCAGGTTCCCGTCCAGGTGGACGATCAGCGTATTATCCACGAACGCCTTGTTGTCCATCAGGTCCGTTAGCACGGCGTTGATGAGCTAGGGCAGCGGAATAGCGGTTGGGGTTAATGATCTAGATTTTGGCTTGAGTCGAGGATGCCTACCGTGGTCTTGCCTGCTCCTCGCGGTCCGATGAGCAGAAGCGAGTTGGATTCGCCCATCTCTGCGGTGCGCTGCAGCAGCTGGCGCACATTGGAGCGCTCCTCCGCGTAGCCCCTCAGTGTGGTGTAGTCCCGCTGAAGGCGCTCCTTAAGGAAGCTCCTCGTCCTGGCTAGATCCCCGTCCGCCTCCGGCATCTTTGAGCTCTTGAATTCCCCGTTCTCTCAAGTTTAAACGATGCACAAGGCAAATCCCGCCAAATCCAACGTAAACATTAAAACAACAGTGGGACTGTCGCTAGAAATGCTTAAAACCAAGTGTGTATGTAGAAAACGAAGTGGTGTGGAACTCTGATAGCATTAGCGGTTGCTCAAGCTGGGTAAAAACTTTGCTAAGACCCCGTACCCATTTGATCTAAATTTTAGACTCTAAAAACTCAATGGTTTATTTTATATTAAGATCAGTACTTACCGAGATAGAGACAAAAACCAAGTTTTTTTTTTAAATGATTTTATAAAATTTTTTCCATATTTTTAATGATTTTTTCGTGTTTTGGGTAAAAAACGACTTGCAGCCGAATAAAGCATAGTTGTGAAAAACAGAGAAGCCTAACAATCTATTTGATTCAATGCATCTTAATTGGTGTATTCTATATTAAGATCAGTACTTACCGAGATAGAGACAAAAAATAAGTTTTTTTTAAATGATTTTATGAAATTTGTTCCATATTATAAATGATTTTTGTGTGTTGTTTGGGCAAGAAACGACTTACAGCCGGACAAAGAATAGTTTTGAAAAATAGAAAAGCCCAATTATCTATTCGATTGATTTCAGATTAACTGCCATTTAACTGATCCTTGAGTTAGTTGATAAAAACCAATCTGGAAAAGATCAGTTGACAATTTTGGTAAAAAACCGTACATTAGTGGTTTTTCGGTAGTAATAAGGTCAAAAAGTGACTTACAGCGGAACCGAACAATGTTTTGAGCACCTTATGACCATAGTTAACGATCCTAATAACTTTTTTGACGATTTAAAAAAAACGATTTTTGGCCAATTTTTGCATTTTTGGTAACATTATCCTTTTTTGCGAAAAATGGCTAAATTTCAAAATTTTTAGGCGGGTATGCCATCCGATCCAGAATTTTATTACGAGCCATCGGTGTATGGCATTCTATATGTAGATCAGTACTTACCGAGGTAGAGACAAGAAATGAAATTCTTTTTAATGATTTTATTAACAAAATTTTTTTTCCATATTTTAAATGATTTTTGTGTGTTTCTTGGGCAAAAAACGAAATACAGCCGAACAAAGCATAGTTTCGAAGAACAGAGAAGCCCAACATATAATATATTTGATTGAATGCAATCAGGGACAGGGAAGCAGCAAATTTAAACAGAGCTCAGAGTTCGCAACGAGTTTTAAAACTGTTCAAAATGGAAGAAATGGAGGTTCTCAAGTGCTTGGGAGGGCGAGAGCCTTTTTGCACAGGTGTTGGCTGGTGGCCGAGTGACCTGGATGCACTGCACCTGTCGCCTGTCAAGTGGCTGCTAATGCGATTAGGGAGGCACCAGCAAGGGGTTCGGGTTCTGGATCTGGACAGGAATCGGAATCGAGGCTTGGGACTCAGCTGCCAATCAAGGTGGGCCAGCCAGAAACTTCACACATTCCAGTCGGATTCACTTTACAACCACAACCACAACAACAACCACAACAACCCAAAAACAACAACCACAACGACCGCCTCCACTGTTCTTGGGTCAACCGAAGGATTGGGAAACACAAGCCCACAAGATGCCGGCGGACATCGTGACCACGGAGCAGCTGCGCTACCAGCTAGCCTTCAGCAACGCCATGGAGCGCACCACGCGCCACTGGCAGGAGACGTTTGCGTGGTACCCGGCGATGCAGGACTGCCACTTCCGGCGGACCGACCAGATCTACCTGGAGAGCCGCCAGCGGTACGGCGACCGGCACTTCCTGCGCTACGCCGCCCGGAGGCGGCTGCTCAAGAAGTACACCGTGACCGCCCAGGAGGTGAAGGCGACCCTGGAGGAGCGGAGCACGCTGCAGCGGGACGGCATCCTGGGCATCCGGGTGGCGGCCACCGAGAACGGGGAGTACGGCCGCTTGAAGCCCTCCAGCCTGTACTTCTGCTAGGATCCCCGCTCCCCACCCCCTTCGATCCCCCCAGATCTCCGCCAGAAGCGCTCACAATTAAACTATCATCGTCCGCTGACAATGCAACTCTCAATGGCCGTCACTCATTACGCGATTTTTGCATGACCGTGCGCATAATTAACAAGGTGAAAATGTCAGTCCGACCTGCAACCGGTTGCCCCGCCCCTCCGCACCGCCGCCCTAGCGAGGGCCCACTGTACGCGGCTGAAAAGTTCGCACAGGTAATTAAGTGATCGCGTCTGTCCACTCGATGAGATGACTCGCCTCGTTTGCTCGCCTGAAAACTGTTCCGTGGCGTCCATAAAAATGGGTGAAAATGAGTGTTCCGCGGGTGCATTATAGGCATTCTACCATTCAGACCATTCAGCTCCGCACTTGCAGGTGCACTGAATCATTTGCTACGCAAATCTGGGGGAGGAGACGTGATCAAGGAATCGAAGTAATTGGAATACTTTTACGCTTGAATAAATTATTGATATGATTCTGTAACCATTACTGACATTATTACGAGCGTTTGGGGTAAACAGGGGAAGAGTCACCTGAGATTGAGTACCTGTTCAGTTAACAAATGTTTAATCAATTTCCAGGTTCGATACAGAAATGAGAGAACTGCTGATGGGGACAGCTCTTGAACATCTCAGTGTTAACAGCATCGTACCCGAGTTGCTCCTGGAGTCACCTAAGGAATGTAGCCCCCTGTTTTGATGAATGTGTTCCCCAGCACAGCTGCTCCTCTTGCGGTCGTAGACGTAAGCCCAGGTGTCATAGGTGGACTTCGCAGGAACGGTATGATTTAAAAGTTCCGTATGCAAATTGCCCGCAAAGTTTCTGGCCGGCTTGGCCCATCCGTCCATCGGAGTGCGTGGTCGGCTGCAAATGGGAAAATGGCAAGTGGAAATGGGAAATGCGGAGTGCAGAGTGCAGACTGCAGTATGCAAAATGCAAAATGCCCATGCAAGTGTGCAAATTACACAAAGAGGACGCGAACTTCGGGCCAAGTTGCGAACTGGGCCAGCGACTCATTAGACACATGACAGCATTCACAGCGCTCTTGGGTGGAAGGGGGCTACTTGTTGGGCAAAGGGAGAGGGTGGGAGAGGGAGAGGGAAGGGGAGGGGAGGGGAAGGGTACGGGCCAGCGGCGAGTGCGTGTGAAAATCCAGCCAGCAGCGGCGGCCCACAAAATCGGCAAGCGCGCAATTAAACGGTAGCGGATAATTGCTATCGAAAGCCATAATGACGGCCGATCGGTACTTGGCCCAGACACAAATATAGTACCATATCTTGATTCGGCGCTCGAGAGCTTTGCGCGCCTTTCTCGGCTCCATTGTCTGCCCGATTTTCCCATCGGCATCGATGCGAACTCATTCGGCTCTCGAGACCACCTTTCTGTTGACTCAACAGAAAGCCTCTGTTTTTGGCAGTGGTCGAGAGCAGAACTGCTGACCAGGTCCAAATAAATAAACACCGAGACACCTACATGCCACACGGGGTGGCTCCTTTTCCGAGTGGGCGCTGGCAGAGGTCAGGGGTCAACCCCTTTTTCGGCCAGGGTAAACAACTTTGCGGATTTCACGCCGGGGCTCAGACAGCAGACAGCAGAGAGCATTGCTGATCCTATTAGGCCAGCTCGGCCGGACAAAGGCCTCGATTGACTGACTGGCGCCATGTCTTGCCTTACGGGAAGGACCAGCAGCAGCAGCAGAGGCTGCAGGACCCGGACCCTTCCAATGCGGATTAGGGCGTAAAGGGACTTAATCCAGTTTTGCATCGACCTCCTCTCCCGTTTGGCAGGTAGCCGGCTTTGGCGCGAAACAGGTTCGCACTGGCACAACAGTAAGACAGGAAAAGCCAAATAAAATAATAAAGAGCCGAATGGCTGGCCGAAACATTAAATAAATAAAAGTCAACGGCGGCCGGCAGTCAGTCAGTCAGGCAGCTCATAAACGCCGGTCCCAACTTCAAATTAAAACGCCATTGGCGCTTTGGCACGCATAGATAGGATTGGACTGCGACTGCGACTGCGACTTGGACTGCGACTTGGGGCTCATTTGGAGGAGATGGAGCTGGGTCGTCCATCAAGTCGCTTTGGTTCGCCGACGCGACTGCCCATAAGCCAATTTGCCAATTTCATAAACTCGGCTTGATTTGCCGCCAAAAAGACAGAAGACAAAACGGACCGCAAAGCATGTCGGCTCGACTCCGAAAACAAAACCCCAAAAACGCCCCCCAGGCCGCAGACAAATTCCGGCTTCCATTTGGGATCGCTGTTTGGCGGAAAAGCAGCAACATCAGCAGCAGCAGCAGCAGCAACAGCAACATCAGCAGCAGCAGCAACAGCAACACAGCGATAGGTGGCCTAGACCTAGGATGGCTTCCATCCAAGCGTCTCTATCAGAAGCTCACTTGAGCCAAGGGCGTAGAAAAGGGGGGTGGCAAGAAACAAATCAAGGGTATTAAAGTTGGTAATTTATTTTTCCAAATTTACTATACAATATAAAGGAACTACATATATGCACGCTACACTGTTTAAAGATACTTGCTTCCAAGTTGCATAATTTAAATGTGTGATTCAGTCATAGATTCCTCCTCATTGAAATCGATTTTAGTACTTAGGAACCTGCAATAGAACTTCTTGCTGGCTACGCCACTGGCCAAGCTACACTTATGGCCATAATTCAATCAGCGCATTATCAATCACGGCGGCTACTTGTCTTGGCCAGTGAGTCAAGTCAATCAGCCATCGGCCGTCCCGCTCGCTCCCGCCCGATCCCAGTGAGTGCGTCCCGCTCGCACTTGAGTGTGAAACACGTTTGAAAGTCATTAACTTAAATGATTCACTTTCTGAGCCATAAATTTCGCCACTAACTGGCGAGGAGCCAGTCGCCGAGTGCCGAGCTCCGTATGCGAAAAACGTCGACAGAAATGTCTTAAAAAATTGCTAAATAATCGCCTTAAATGAGTCTATAAAAGCGAACACCCCGAGCGGCGACTAGCGCTCAATCGGCGATCTCGCGGCCCAGAAGCCGCCATTCCGCCGTTCGTTCGGCCAACAGAAGTGGCTCAAAAGTGTTTTCGAAACCCCAAAGTGAATTTTCATTGCCAGCGGAAGTCGTAAATCAATTTTTTCCTCTGCCGAAAACAGAAAAATGGGGAAAACGCTCGAAGAGCACTGGTCCCGTCTCCCAGTCGAAATATGTGTTTAGGCCTAGAAATCAGAAAATCAGAAGTCAGAAGACAGAAGACCCGAACGGAGGAAGGGAGGCGCCCATTCGGGAAGAGCATCCGCAGCGAGAAATCTTTGTTGTCCGCTGCTCTGGCCCAACCAATTTCGGCTAAGACGACAGCCATAATGATAGGGGCCACTTTTGCCGCCGCCGCCGCCGCTGCCACGCACGCTATATGGCCAAGAGCCCAGGGCGGTGGTTAGAGGGGTGGGGGAAGGGGAGGGGGGAGGGCCGACGGAACGGAAAGGGGCAGCTTGTCAGACATTGTATTTGTGTGCCATCTACGTTTCCGTTTCAATGTTTTCAAGACGCCATCACGACAATGTCAGAGGCAGCAAAATACGAAGACGACATCTCACGCAGCCTTAGAATTTCCGTAGTGGGGAAGGGGAAGGGGGGGGAAGGGGTAGGGGGAGGGGGTTACTTCGTCAGCTAGCTAAGGAAAGGTGTCTCATGGGTACGGTTCAATTAAAAGACTGTACCTCCCGATTTACTTAAATATACATACATCACTTAAAAACAGATTGAATTTATATTGTACTAAAATATAATGTTTGTGAAATATATTTATATTTTATCTGGATACAAATACCTACAAATTCACGTTCTATAATCGTAGCTGTTGAAAGTACCTTAAACCACCTTTAAATGAGCCCATGGAGAGGGGAAATCCCTTTGGAATTGCTTGAAGCTGGGAGCCCACGCCTCCGTCTGTCGAAGAGTAGACAAAGGAGTCAAGTCCGAATCCCATTCCCATTCCCATTCCAATGCCAACGGGATTATCTATGAGCTGTGAAATCCCTTTAGGCGGAAACTATGGAACCCACACAGCCACAGGGCGAGGACAATGCAACAAGTGTTGCGGCAGATTGAGCAACAAAGGCCCATAATTGTGGCAGCCACACAATGCGACACATTCGAGGGTGAGTCCCTGCCTTCTCCTTTGTGGAGGAGGAGAGGCTCTAGTCAGCTGGCTGCTGGCCAGGCTAATGAGTGGCCGCAAACAAACCGTAAACCAGTCGGCGATTTAGCGCGGTCCTTCCTCAGGCGGCAACTCGCTTTAATACCACTTGACACTTGGCCAGGATCGAGGATCGAGGATCGAGGATGCCCGCTCCAGCTCCAGAATTTATGTTCGACAATATTTGTGAAATTAAATCATTGCCGCTGACAGTTTTATGGTGCGGGGCGTGGCGGGGATGGGGGTTCGTTCCCACAATGACCTCTCCCCCCCGCGTTAACCCTTGAGCCCTTAACCCTCGACTGCCGAACGGCACGAATGAGCAAATTGGAAAAATGTCAATTATGCGCAATTTTGCCCAAGCAATTGACATTCGTTGTTTGTGCGATTGCACGCATACTTGGGCAAATAAATTGACAAATAGGATTTGCGTTTCCCTCTCCGGCTTTCTGCCGCTGGCCATTTTGAATTAATAAATTGCCGCCAATTTGCCGCTAGCCTTGCCGGCGTGGAAAAGTCGACAGAAATCGAAAAGCACAAATCTGGAAAATACCTATCAGAAGGCAATTCTACTGCGTACTTCTGTACTTCTGGCCTTCTCGTACTCCTGTACAGTGTGCCCTCTCGCCTCGGATCGGAGTTTGTGCCGTGTTATCATTTGATTGCCGGCCAGTAATTGGTTTAATTGCCCCGATCCGCGGTGAGACTCGGCCATTACATAAACCCTCAGCCGACTGATTGATTTCGCTTTGATCTCTGCTTTTCTTCTGAATGAATCCGCAGCTGGTGGAATTTTGTATACTAATATGAGAGGAACTTGTTTTGCCAGCGCTTGTTTCGATGGAAGTTTGCCAGTTGAGTCATGGAAAACCTCGATTGCTTGTTTTCCCCGCTGAAATAACTGAGTTCTATATGCTAAGCAGTTGGGATGGAGCCTATTTTTAGGGGCAGCTGAGATTACTGAGTTTAATTGTACGAGTAGTGTAACTATTTTAATCAGTCCAAACTTCACCCTTTTGGATCCCACTCGACTGCAGTAGATTAAAGATCGAGCGGATCCACCGCACCACTCGCTCCCCAGCCATCCGTGGAATCCATTCATGAGTGACCTCGGCCAGACCAAATCAGACCGAAACCCAAACCCAAACCCAAACCGAAACCCAATTCCAAGCCCAAACCAAAGACCTTTATCGCGAGCGCGCAATCAAACGGAAGTTGCGTTCAATTTATGGGTGAAATTATCCAGCGGCCGGGAGAATCGGCTCGTGAAGATTTGCTGAGCTGTGGAAATAAATGGAGATC